ATGATAAAACCACAGCTCAGAGCCACGAGGAGGACAACCAAAAAGCTTGCTATGACAGCCACAGCCACAGCAGGGAACATGAATTTAAGAACTAAGAAATCAAAATAATGATCAAACAAAATTAGATGATGGCATTTTAAGTGGTTATGTAGTTATCATTGAAAGCAAAATTTCACCACTGTATCAGAAGTTTCTCCCCACCCTTAAGGAATGAATCATCAATCACATCAATGTGTGATTAAATATAACTATTGTTTATAACTACTAACTGAGCTAAACCAGCACCCCATGTTCTTCAAACTTGTTGTCAAAAAAGTTAATAACTGAATGTTTTAATACAAGAATTTTATATTTGATTGGTTTTAATTAGACAAAGTAAAAAACAGTCAAAATGTGGATTGTAGTTTTAGAGTTAACCACTGTACCTTGCAGACTGGGCACTGTGCAGATTTTCAGTTGAATAACTGTTTCTTCTTTGCTGACATTGTTCCAAACAATACACATTAAGCTTCCAGCCAGCTGACCCTTTAAGCTGATGGTAACATGTTTAAGACTGGGTTCGTCTTGTGTAGTTCTAGTCCTGTCAGAGATTGTATGTTAACTCTACTGCTGTTCAGGAACTGGCTGTTGTCTCTTGTCTGCATGAGTAAGTTTCCGTCTAAAGTCAGACGGAACTCCACTCCATCTCCCTCAGAGGAGCAGCCGATGTTGATCTGTTCTGACGAACACGTCTGAGAAACAGCTGGCTTTGACACTGGAGCTGGAAGACAAACAAAAAGAAACATGTTAAGTACTACAGTACAAAGTACAGGGCAGAATAACCTAAACTTTTTTCTTTTTGGAGCTATAGCTTTTTTAAATTCTATTTTAATTGTTAAACTAACTCCTGAAAAAAATCTTTTAAGCTGCATAAATAGATTGTAACTATTTTTTATATAAAGACAGGAGCAAGAAACCAAATGGGTTAATTATCGGCCAATCTACATCCTCCCTGTTATGAAACGTTTTTGGAGAGGGCTGTAACAATACATTAACACACTACCTGGAAAAAATAACTTTATGCACCCATTACAATTTTGGTTCAGACCATAAATCATCTACAGAAAGTTCTAATTGTTACCTTCTGGAAATGTTATTTATGTATGGACAAAGGTCTCACTAGACTTTAATAAGCATTTGATCCTGTAAATCATAGCATTCTCACTTCCAAACTTCAAATGTTATTCTCTGTATTCTCTCTACTGGATGTTATTTAAAGAGTTCCGAAACCATAAAGAGTCAGCTAACTAACTAAAAAATGTTTTACCTGTCCGCCATTATTCTCCGTCTCTCTTTCCCTTCTCAAACCATAATAAAGTCCAGGAATAATTGTTATAGACATAACAGTTAAAACGTATTTGCATATTTTTTCTTGACAATGACCATTAGATCTTGATTTTTTTAACACGTACATTTATTCACAGTGAAACAGGATCTTTTAATAACTTAAAGACATATCAGTGTCAGACACTTAAATACAATTCAACTTACCTTCAATTTCTACGTGCACATTTACTTTTCTTATTAAAGTCCCATTTCCACTATATTCTTCCAACATGTAGTCTCCGGAGTGTGTCTTCAATGCTTTTCCCAATTCAAATCTTCCCTTGGTGAAAAGTTCAGTCTGATTGCCATATTCCTCCTGTGGCGTCTCTATCTTATTTTTTTTACATTTTAAAATAACACGTGTCTTGTCTTTCTTCAACCTTACATCTGTATCTGCAGTGTTTGGCAGGTGAAAAATCAGCAGTTGTCCCACCGCTCCGTAACATTGCTGAGTTCCAGTAGCTTCAGTGAAATTACATTCAATAGAGCCTGAAATCAACAAACAACAAATCTTAAACAATAGTGTCTTACTTCAGTTGCAAAACTTTGTAAAACAAGAAGGTTAAAGCATTTTGTCATTAAATCCAAATATGTTTTAAATGTATACAGCTGCCTTAGTCATACTGTATACTTTAATTTAACCAGTAACTTGATGGCTAAATGATTAACTATTAAACTAGACTTCTAAATTCATTACTATGGCAAACTTTTTTTCTCTTTGATCAAATGTTAAAATTTTTTAGAGAATAACAGACTATAACACAGAACTGCCACCAGATACGTGTGCATTGCATGTCTACTCCACTCGGGTACGGCTCTGTGCTCCCTCGCCAGTCGACACTCGCAGGCAGCTTTATCAGAGGCCTACAGAGCAGCGCCGACGGACAGTTTGGAGTCCTGAGACCAAGGAGTTACTGCTGTATTTACAGTATCATGCAGAACAGCGTGAGATAATATGATATACAGTATGCCATAAAAAACTGTATAAAAACCCTTATTAAACATAAGGTCATTGTGTTGAAATTGATGCGCCTTAATCCGGCACAAATAGAAGCCTGCAGAAGACTCTGACTGCTGGAGCCGGACAGAGCTGAGACGCACACACATTGACTAAAGTAAAAAGCTATCAGCTCTGCTGCCGTGGCGGAACAGAACACGCATCTGGTGGATTTAGCAGTAACACATTTTAAAACTGTAGTGTACCTTGTGCCAGAGCTGTTGCTGCCAGAGCTGTGATGATCACGTAGAAGTGTTTCATTTTCTTTCTGTTGTATAATATACATTTAATGTAATTAAAATTCTACTTTTAATTATCAAATTATTGAGACAGTTGCACATCAAATCTAAAAATAAAATGTTACAGTATTTTAGAAATGGAAAAAAAGACATCCTCAGATTTAAAAGTTCTTCATACAATTGAATAATAAAATAAATAAACAAATAAATAATAAACCTACCTGCTTTCTTTCACCAATCTCAGCTCAAAAATGTTTCAATCATATGTCGTGATATACTCACAGAGGTGTGATGTCTCACGCTGAGGTTATTTTAGACTGACCGTTTTTTTGACTGAGGGCTGGTGAAAACTCTTCTCGTCTTCTTCTTGTGATCTCATATGATTTAATGTATGAGGAAGTGTTTTTAAAAGTGCTTACTCACAAATTGCCAGTTAAAAATACAAAGAACATTTAAATATGAGATTACTTAGTTTTTCAATTGTGAAGCAGTGTCTGACCAGTCGGCCATAGCTCTTCTTCTGGTTGTCGGTACACCAACCAAAGTTCTTTGGTTTGATATTTCACACATATACTTAATTATACTGTGCATGTAGTAACTATTGTTAGCAATATTATTTAGCAATAATGTCACACGGTATTTATTGAAGTAGCTGTTTAACCTTTGAGGTCATACCGCATACTGTACCGCTGTATGAGAGAGTGTGATATTGTTAAAAAAGGGTTGGGCGATATGGACATATCAATATCGATAATTATCATGATAATTGTCAAATCATTTATTCTTTAAGATTTAAAGGCTGATTTTTGCTTCTGAGTGAAAGTTGAAGAAACCACATGATTAACTATGGTTTAATTATTCTTTATTGTCAGAACATGACAAACTGTAATTAAACAGAGACATTTCACCATCATAAGCGCAGTGCACAGAGCTGGAAAACGCTGATTTGACCATTTGCTGCTGGGGAGTCACACTTACTGGCCTGGTGTTTACTGTGGTCCACACCCTGTTTATATTTTTTACAATAGGTCCACACTAACACTTGTTTGGGACGTTTGTTGATTTCTTTCTCTCTGTGTTCTAACGGTTGATATTCTTTCAAACACTGGGAAATGTTAGTGGTGTTGCCCGTTTTAGCTGCACTTGTCTTCGGCACAGTTAACAGAGCATGTTACTCGTTTTTGTCGGACTGTAAATAGCCAAACTATCTCCAAATTCCTGAAATGGAGCGGCCTTTCTAGTCGTCTCGTCGACGATGTTTTCTTCTACTTTGAGCTGGTAGGCTCAGCGTTTTCTTAGGTGTGGCTATTGCTCAGATCTTCATTTCAGCTGTGTTTCCATTCCGCTCCAGACGTCTCTAAGCCTACCCATATCCCTGCAACATGATTGGCTGTTCATCGACTTTTTGTTCTTTTCTTTAATGTCAGGTGGCAACAAGCCCCCCCCCCCTTTTCCCAGTGGTGTGATAGTGTAATCACATGTTTAAATCTATCAACCTTTTATTGAACATTTTTTATATTTATATTAGGAAAAATCATATTGCGATGATTATCATTATCGTTTTATCGCCCAGAATGAAAAATACTTGATTTCAAACCCATCAATATATTCAACAAGGAAACTGCTGCAGCTCAAACCATTCTTACAAGCAACTCAGGTAATTCAAAAATCAAACCACGTGATAGAATGACAACTAAAAACCACAGCTTACTTTCACACTAACTATTTTCACTGTCAAGGAGATAAAAAAACCACTTCCTAGCTCTCTTCAATGTTTTGCTTAAACCCATCACTAAACTTTCTCAGGTTATATCATATTTAACTGTTGGAGACTGACATTTAAAAACCTGCTCTTTTAATGCTCTGTTGCTACATTGGGTGGTGCCTCATTTGAAATTGTTGAGAAAATGATTAAGTGTCTCTTGGTGTTCCCACTGCAGTCAACATTAAGCGTATTTACCATGACAATAAAGCAAACTGATAACTTGATTTTTCCCAACAGTTTTTCTTTTATCATCATGAAAATATACACCAGGAGGCCTTATGCCTCCAGACAGATGCATCAGTGAGGTTTTAACTTAATAGATTAAAAGTTAAGTTTGATGATCATCAAGTAGTGACGTGAGGACTGTTGGCTCCATCTTGTGCTTGTTAAAAAAGTTACACTTTTCAAAGTCAATACAAGGAAATCAACAGAAGAATATAATGAAAGGGTTAATATTTATTATACAAAACATCACTGTAAAGAAACAGCTATTATAAAAAGCATGTTGACCCTACATAGTCCATCCCTCAAATAATGACAAGTCTCATTGCTAAATCTTAGAACTAAAACAGTGCTTTGTTTCTTTTACTTAAGGAAACCATACGTATTTTACAAATCATTTCAGCATGGTTCTTCAAGAAACCCTCACATTACTGCACACAAAGTAAATCCCTGAAAGTCAAGACAAAAATTAAGCAAGCACATCGTCTCTCATATGCAGCTTCCAAAATGATCAAACCATATGTAAAGCACATTTACACTACATGGTCCCACCCTCAAGTAGTGACAAGTCTCATTGCTAAATCTTATACCAATCCTGAAGAACAAAGCAATGTCAAAAAGACTCTTTTTTTCTCACACTGTAAAATAAAAAAATATGCTTTGTTTTGTTTTGCTTGAGGAAACCTTATTGAAATATTTTTAAATCTTGTCAAATAACACTCCAAAAAATATTCACATAAAATGACGAACCAATATTCCACTTAAAGTAGATCCTACTTATTTAAGGTCATGTTTACACGACAACAATTTCATCCATAAATGGCTTCCTTTTGTTGTGTATTGATTTTTCCTTTACTTAGTGTTTTGGTTGCCTCAAAAGAGGGTTTTAAAAAATGCGGTCAAGAGTGCAAACTTTTGTAAACGGTAGTGTCTCTGACTGTTCAAACTGGCAAACCGCTTTTCTGCCCAAGAACGGTAACCTTACGCACATCATGCTCGTTGCTGTTACCGTATGAGAATGATTAAGTGCAACTCAACAACAATGGCCAAATCCCGAATTCTGTTTTTGCTCCAGTCGACTTTTTTCTAGAAACGTAAGTAATATTTAACTGTTTGTAGTTCAGGGTCACTTCGAGTAGCAACCCCACCTCATCGTCTGCAACACAAACGTGTGTGAGTTTGCCTTTTCTCTATGTTTACACCCACTGCTCTGAAGAAGGAAGAGCATGTGCACATGCGATTGTTTCATTAGAAAGTCACAACGCCAATTACTGGTCTGGCATGTATACTACAATGTTTTCAGTCATTTTTGAGGATGCCATGTGAACAGCTGTTATAATCAAAATATCGTCTGAATAGGAACTTTTTTGAAAATGAAAATCGGGATCATTCTCATGCATACTTGGCCTCAGTCACGTTGTAACCTTTATCATTGTCTTATTTGTTTTCATTTTGAATTTTGTTTGATCTTTTATATGAAAAAGAGAACATAATCCATTTAAGAAATATACTTTATTTTACTTAAAAACAAACAACAGATTACATTTTCATACATGTTTCACGAATTTGCTTAAGCTGCCATATAATTACAAGAATACAATCATAGAAATGTTATATAAGGAAACTAAATGCTAAAATCAATCAAAGAAGCACAATTTTAAAAAGAATCAAAAGTATTAACTGTAAAATGTGCACTGTTCCTAACGGATTAATAAATGTATTTGAATCGAATTGAATTGAAAAATAGTCCATACAGATACGATCATAGATTACAGAAGTAGATGAGGTTTCATGGCATGAATTAATTGGCCAAAATTATTTTACTCTTGCCAGCCCAAGCCACAAAAGAAAAGATTACTTGTAACATTCTTGGACTGATGCTTGATCCCTTCTTTAGGAGAAGATTATGTTGAAATCTGTGAGTTGGGTTCAGTTGTCCTTGTGTTTTGTATTTTCTACATTGGGCGTAGATAACGTCCTCTTCAGGGTTCCCTGTAACATCTCAAAAGAGAGAGAGGGGAAATGGGAGGGCTTTTGATTAGTAAATTAACACAGAGGACATCATTCTACTTTTCTAAAGGTAGTCTTTAAAAATATTTCCATTATGTCAAATTGATGTAGAATAAATCCAAAATGAAAAGTGGAAGAACAATAATTCAAGCAATGATAACCTTACTTAATGTTGCATTTCTTATTTAGAAAGACGAGGACATGATAAAAAAAAAATCTTAGACTCACCCTCATTAACAGCTGAGGGTGTTTGGTTTTTACGGAGAATGATTAAAATACATCCCAGGAGGACAGCCAAAAAGCTTGCTGTAACGGCCACAGACACAACAAGGATGGAAATACCTGAAAAATATAAACATATCAAACAAAATTAGAGGATGGCATTTACATTGACAAGTCATTGTAACTTTTGCTGCTTTGCTAAAGTGTTCATGATGGATGAATTAAGTCTTTGTAATATAGCATTAAGTAAGATCTTTTACTTGCTTTTTGTAACATAACAATGAGTATGGTCTTTTTACCTGCTCTTTTGTAATGTTAAAAGACAAAGAGTAAGATATTTTACCTGCTTTTTGTAAATTGTCTCGCGATAACACTTATGAGTTGATGCTATTCAAATAAAAAATGATTGATGTGATGTCTGTCGAATATATACTCCTTCCTCCCAGTGTTCAAGATAGATTTACAGTTTAAGGTAATGTGTAGTTATCATTTAAAGCTACATTTGAACTCTGTATCAGATTTTATTTTACTGTTCACCTTTATTAAAGAGCTTTACAGACATGGCATGCTCCAAATACTGTCAGGATTTGTTGTTGATCCTGCTACAAGGACAGTGGCCTCAGTGGATAGGACGCCTGCTCTACTGACTGAGCTAAACCAGCACCCTATGTTCTTCAAACTTGTTGTCAAATGAAAGTTAATAACTATTTTTTTTACGACAAGAATTTGATAGTCGATTGGTTTTATTTAGATAAAGTTGAAGAACAGTCAAAATGAAGATTTTAGTAGGATCGTCAACCACTGTACCTTGCAGACTGGGCACTGTGCAGATTTTCAGTTGAATAACTGTTTCTTCTCTGCTGACATTGTTCCAAACAATACACATTAAGCTTCCAGCCAGCTGACCCTTTAAGCTGATGGTAACGTGTTTAAGACTGGGTTCGTCTTGTGTAATTCTAGTCTCTGTCAGAGATTGTATGTTAACTCTACTGCTGTTCAGGAACTGGCTGTTGTCTCTTGTCTGCATGAGTAAGTTTCCGTCTAAAGTCAGACGGAACTCCACTCCATCTCCCTCAGAGGAGCAGCTGATGTTGATCTGTTCTGACGAACACATCTGAGAAACAGCTGGCTTTGACACTGGAGCTGGAAGACAAACAAAAGAAACATGTTAAGTACCTACAGTACAAATACAGGGCAGAATAACCTAAACTTTGTTCTTTTTGGAGCTATAGCTTTTTTAAATTCCTATTTTAATTGGTTAAACTAACTCCTGAAAAAATCTTTTAAGTTTCATGAATATTTTGTAACTACATTTTGTAGTACCTCTACCTCTAGACCTCTTTGCGCCTTTGTTAAGTCCCTTAGCTCTTATACAATTCTGGCAAATTGTGAGCAAATAAAACTAACGAAATGCTGCTCCTCTGATCTCTCTTGAAAACCTGCGTTCTGTCACCTCTCTTCTCTCTCTTCTTTTTGTTCAGGCTGTTTCCTGATTAATGTAACGCAGGAGCAGCTCATGCGCTCGGCCACTTGTCGTTTTATGTTTAAATGCCCCGTTCAATTCATTTTTGTATCATCATATTACCCTTTTACGTTGCTAATTATAAATGGGTTTTTATTACTATTTGGGGAAAATAAATATTAAAAATATTTAATTTATAAAAAATATCCTAAATACAATACATTAAATCGATTTCCCCCTTCTTCCCAAAATGTCTCGCGAGCTAGATGAAACCTGCTGTCGGGCTGGACATGGCCTGCGGGCCGTGTGTTTGATATCCCTGCACTAGAGCAATACTCTTTATAGACGTATAGTAAAAAACCGATTGCATCTTTTTTCCTGCAAGTGACCATTACATCTTTATTTTTAACACGGACAATGATTCCTGTCGAACAGGATCTTTCAATAACATAAAGACATATCAGTGTCACACACTGAAATACAATTTAACTTACCTTCAATTTCTACGTGCACATTTACTTTTCTTATGAAATTCCCATTTCCACTATATTCTTCCAACATGTAGTCTCCGGAGTGTTTCTTTGTTGCTTTTCCTAATTCAAGTCTTCCCTTGGTGAAAAGTTCAGTCTGATTGCTGTGATTGGCGTATTCCTCATGTAGACTCTCTATCTGATTTTTGTATGATTTTAAAATCATATATTTCTTGTCTTTCTTCAACCTTACATCTGTATCTGCAGTGTTTGGCAGGTGAAAAATCAGCAGTTGTCCCACCGCTCCATAACATTGCTGAGTTCCAGTAGCTTCAGTGAAATTACATTCAATAGAGCCTGAAATCAACAAACAAAAAATCTTAAACAATAGTGTCTTACTTCAGTTGCAAAACTTTGTAAAACAAGAAGGTTAAAGCATTTTGTCATTAAATCCAAATATGTTTTAAATGTATACAGCTGCCTTAGTCATACTGTATACTTTAATTTAACCAGTAACTTGATGGCTAAATGATTAACTATTAAACGAGACTTCTAAATTCATTACTATGGCAAACTTTTTTTCTCTTTGATCAAATGTTAAAAAATTTTTTAGAGAATAACAGACTATAACACAGAACTGCCACCAGATACGTGTGCATTGCATGTCTACTCCACTCGGGTACGGCTCTGTGCTCCCTCGCCAGTCGACACTCGCAGGCAGCTTTATCAGAGAGCCTCACAGAGCAGCGCCGACGGACAGTTGGAGTCCTGAGACCAAGGAGTTACTGCTGTATTTACAGTATCATGCAGAACAGCGTGAGATAATATGATATACAGTATGCCATAAAAAACTGTATAAAAACCCTTATTAAACATAAGGTCATTGTGTTGAAATTGATGCGCCTTAATCCGGCACAAATAGAAGCCTTGCAGAAGACTCTGGACTGCTGGAGCCGGGACAGAGCTGAGACGCACACACATTGACTAAAGTAAAAAGCTATCAGCTCTGCTGCCGTGGCGGAGCGGAGACGGACAGAACACGCATCTGGTGGATTTAGCAGTAACACATTTTAAAACTGTAGTGTACCTTGTGCCAGAGCTGTTGCTGCCAGAGCTGTGATGATCACGTAGAAGTGTTTCATTTTCTTTCTGTTGTATAATATACATTTAATGTAATTAAAATTCTACTTTTAATTATCAAATTATTGAGACAGTTGCACATCAAATCTAAAAATAAAATGTTACAGTATTTTAGAAATGGAAAAAAAGACATCCTCAGATTTAAAAATTCTTCATACAATTGAATAATAAAATAAATAAACAAATAAATAATAAACCTACCTGCTTTCTTTCACCAATCTCAGCTCAAAAATGTTTCAATCATATGTCGTGATATACTCACAGAGTGTGATGTCTCACGCTGAGGTTATTTTAGACTGACCGTTTTTTTGACTGAGGGCTGGTGAAAACTCTTCTCGTCTTCTTCTTGTGATCTCATATGATTCAAGGAAGTGTTTTTAAAAGTGCTTACCCACAAATTGCCAGTTACCAAAATACAAAGAACATTTTATATATGAGATTACTTGAGACTGATTGTTGTAATCATAGTTTTTCAATTGTGAAGCAGTGTCTGACCAGTTTAGAACAAAGCTACAGTGCATTGATCTGTTTTCAAATGTCTTTACAACATCATGTAACCCAAAATGTGGGAACTGGTACGTTGGCAGCAACAATAAACCAATGTCTATAATCGGCCATAGCTCTTCTTCTGGTTGTCGGTACACCAACCAAAGGTCTTTAGTTTGATATTTCACACATATACTTAATTATACTGTGCATGTAGTAACTATTGTTAGCAATATTATTTAGCAATAATGTCACATGGTATTTATTGAAGTAGCTGTTTAACCTTTGAGGTCATACATTTAGATGCTGGTTACTCTTAACAGCCACATGTGCGTAAATGGCTTAGAATTTATTTTTTTAAATAATGACTTTTATTTCTAATATGCCAACATGAATTAAACACTTTATGTACCTATAAGTTCCAAGTTACAAAAAAGCAGTGTTGTAGTCTAGTCCCCAAGTCCGGGGAGTCACCAAAGAAAAGTCAGAGTCCTACCTCAACCTGAGTCCTCAAGGTTGAGTATGAGCCAAGTTTCAAGACAGGCTTTAGTTTAGCGCATTCATTTATCGATCTTTGATGTTAAATGCTTCTGAGACGAGCTATAACTATTTGTGTGGTCATGGTCATACTGTACCGCTGTATGAGAGAGTGTGATATTGTTAAAAAAGGGTTGGGCGATATGGACATATCGATATCGATAATTATCATGATAATTGTCAAATCATTTATTCTTTAAGATTTAAAGGCTGATTTTTGCTTCTGAGTGAAAGTTGAAGAAACCACATGATTAACTATGGTTTAATTATTCTTTATTGTCAGAACATGACAAACTGTAATTAAACAGAGACATTTCACCATCATAAGCGCAGTGCACAGAGCTGGAAAACGCTGATTTGACCATTTGCTGCTGGGGAGTCACACTTACTGGCCTGGTGTTTACTGTGGGTCCACACCCTGTTTATATTTTTTTACAATATGGTCCACACTAACACTTGTTTGGGACGTTTGTTGATTTCTTTCTCTCTGTGTTCTAACGGTTGATATTCTTTCAAACACTGGGAAATGTTAGTGGTGTTGCCCGTTTTAGCTGCACTTGTCTTCAGCACAGTTAACAGAGCATGTTACTCGTTTTTGTCGGACTGTAAATAGCCAAACTATCTCCAAACTCCTGAAATGGAGCGGCCTTTCTTGTCGTCTTGTCGACGATGTTTTCTTCTACTTTGAGCTGGTAGGCTCAGTGTTTTCTTAGGTGTGGCTATCGCTCAGATCCTCATTTCAGACTTTTTGTTCTTTTCTTTAATGTCAGGTGGCAACAAGCCCCCCCCCCCTTTTTCCAGTGGTGTGATAGTGTAATCACATATTTAAATCTATCAACCTTTTATTGAACATTTTTTATATTTATATTAGGAAAAATCATATCGCGATGATTATCATTATCGTTTTATCGCCCTGGCCGAACTGAAATATTAACTCGATATTTTGTAGCTGAATGGCGAAACGTTGTTTACCTGGGAAAAAACAGTTCTGAAAAGAAATAACGATAAAGTTCCTGTGTGACATTTGGAATGTGGTCTGTGCTGCACAGTGTCAACACTTACATGAAAAATGCCCAAAAAATAAACTAACTGATTGTTTCAACCGTAAAAAGAATGGGTGGGTGGGTTTTTAGCCTCTTGACCAACAGCTACATCAGGTCTGCCCGTCAATCAACTCATCTACGCGCTTTTTTGTTTTTTTGAACCAGGCTATAAACTTGTGAATTTCGGCCGTTAATATCTTATGTTATAGCATAAGCCTTTTTTCTGCAAAGAACACATGAAGACACTAACACTTCCTGGTTTTCACACAGAATGAAAAATACTTGATTTCAAACCCATCAATATATTCAACAAGGAAACTGCTGCAGCTCAAACCATTCTTACAAGCAACTCAGGTAATTCAAAAATCAAACCACGTGATAGAATGACAACTAAAAACCACAGCTTACTTTCACACTAACTATTTTCACTGTCAAGGAGATAAAAAAACCACTTCCTAGCTCTCTTCAATGTTTTGCTTAAACCCATCACTAAACTTTCTCAGGTTATATCATATTTAACTGTTGGAGACTGACATTTAAAAACCTGCTCTTTTAATGCTCTGTTGCTACATTGGGTGGTGCCTCATTTGAAATTGTTGAGAAAATGATTAAGTGTCTCTTGGTGTTCCCACTGCAGTCAACATTAAGCATATTTACCATGACAATAAAGCAAACTGATAACTTGATTTTTCCCAACAGTTTTTCTTTTATCATCATGAAAATATACACCAGGAGGCCTTATGCCTCCAGACAGATGCATCAGTGAGGTTTTAACTTAATAGATTAAAAGTTAAGTTTGATGATCATCAAGTAGTGACGTGAGGACTGTTGGCTCCATCTTGTGCTTGTTAAAAAAGTTACACTTTTCAAAGTCAATACAAGGAAATCAACAGAAGAATATAATGAAAGGGTTAATATTTATTATACAAAACATCACTGTAAAGAAACACTATTATAAAAAGCATGTTGACCCTACATAGTCCATCCCTCAAATAATGACAAGTCTCATTGCTAAATCTTAGAACTAAAACAGTGCTTTGTTTCTTTTACTTAAGGAAACCATACGTATTTTACAAATCATTTCAGCATGGTTCTTCAAGAAACCCTCACATTACTGCACACAAAGTAAATCCCTGAAAGTCAAGACAAAAATTAAGCAAGCACATCGTCTCTCATATGCAGCTTCCAAAATGATCAAACCATATGTAAAGCACATTTACACTACATGGTCCCACCCTCAAGTAGTGACAAGTCTCATTGCTAAATCTTATACCAATCCTGAAGAACAAAGCAATGTCAAAAAGACTCTTTTTTTCTCACACTGTAAAATAAAAAAATATGCTTTGTTTTGTTTTGCTTGAGGAAACCTTATTGAAATATTTTTAAATCTTGTCAAATAACACTCCAAAAAATATTCACATAAAATGACGAACCAATATTCCACTTAAAGTAGATCCTACTTATTTAAGGTCATGTTTACACGACAACAATTTCATCCATAAATGGCTTCCTTTTGTTGTGTATTGATTGTTCCTTTACTTAGTGTTTTGGTTGCCTCAAAAGAGGGTTTTAAAAAATGCGGTCAAGAGTGCAAACTTTTGTAAACGGTAGTGTCTCTGACTGTTCAAACTGGCAAACCGCTTTTCTGCCCAAGAACGGTAACCTTACGCACATCATGCACGTTGCTGTTACCGTATGAGAATGATTAAGTGCAACTCAACAACAATGGCCAAATCCCGAATTCTGTTTTTGCTGCTCACTCCCAGTCGACTTTTTTCTAGAAACGTAAGTAATATTTAACTGTTTGTAGTTCAGGGTCACTTCGAGTAGCAACCCCACCTCATCGTCTGCAACACAAACGTGTGCGAGTTTGCCTTTTCTCTATGTTTACACCCACTGCTCTGAAGAAGGAAGAGCATGTGCACATGCGATTGTTTCATTAGAAAGTCACAACGCCAATTACTGGTCTGGCATGTATACTACAATGTTTTCAGTCATTTTTGAGGATGCCATGTGAACAGCTGTTATAATCAAAATATCGTCTGAATAGGAACTTTTTTGAAAATGAAAATCGGGATCATTCTCATGCATACTTGGCCTCAGTCACGTTGTAACCTTTATCATTGTCTTATTTGTTTTCATTTTGAATTTTGTTTGATCTTTTATATGAAAAAGAGAACATAATCCATTTAAGAAATATACTTTATTTTACTTAAAAACAAACAACAGATTACATTTTCATACATGTTTCACGAATTTGCTTAAGCTGCCATATAATTACAAGAATACAATCATAGAAATGTTATATAAGGAAACTAAATGCTAAAATCAATCAAAGAAGCACAATTTTAAAAAGAATCAAAAGTATTAACTGTAAAATGTGCACTGTTCCTAACGGATTAATAAATGTATTTGAATCGAATTGAATTGAAAAATAGTCCATACAGATACGATCATAGATTACAGAAGTAGATGAGGTTTCATGGCATGAATTAATTGGCCAAAATTATTTTACTCTTGCCAGCCCAAGCCACAAAAGAAAAAGATTACTTGTAACATTCTTGGACTGATGCTTGATCCCTTCTTTAGGAGAAGATTATGTTGAAATCTGTGAGTTGGGTTCAGTTGTCCTTGTGTTTTGTATTGTTCCTACATTGGCGTAGATAACGTCCTCTTCAGGGTTCCCTGTAACATCTCAAAAGAGAGAGAGGGGAAATGGGAGGGCTTTTGATTAGTAAATTAACACAGAGGACATCATTCTACTTTTCTAAAGGTAGTCTTTAAAAAATATTTCCATTATGTCAAATTGATGTAGAATAAATCCAAAATGAAAAGTGGAAGAACAATAATTCAAGCAATGATAACCTTACTTAATGTTGCATTTCTTATTTAGAAAGACGAGGACATGATAAAAAAAAAATCTTAGACTCACCCTCATTAACAGCTGAGGGTGTTTGGTTTTTACGGAGAATGATTAAAATACATCCCAGGAGGACAGCCAAAAAGCTTGCTGTAACGGCCACAGACACAACAAGGATGGAAATACCTGAAAAATATAAACATATCAAACAAAATTAGAGGATGGCATTTACATTGACAAGTCATTGTAACTTTTGCTGCTTTGCTAAAGTGTTCATGATGGATGAATTAAGTCTTTGTAATATAGCATTAAGTAAGATCTTTTACTTGCTTTTTGTAACATAACAATGAGTATGGTCTTTTTACCTGCTCTTTTGTAATGTTAAAAGACAAAGAGTAAGATATTTTACCTGCTTTTTGTAAATTGTCTCGCGATAACACTTATGAGTTGATGCTATTCAAATAAAAATGTATTGATTGATTTCCTCCCAGTGTTCAAGATAGATTTACAGTTTAAGGTAATGTGTAGTTATCATTTAAAGCTACATTTGAACTCTGTATCAGATTTTATTTTACTGTTCACCTTTATTAAAGAGCTTTACAGACATGGCATGCTCCAAATACTGTCAGGATTTGTTGTTGATCCTGCTACAAGGACAGTGGCCTCAGTGCATGGGACGCCTGCTCTACTGACTGAGCTAAACCAGCACCCTATGTTCTTCAAACTTGTTGTCAAATGAAAGTTAATAACTATTTTTTTTACGACAAGAATTTGATAGTCGATTGGTTTTATTTAGATAAAGTTGAAGAACAGTCAAAATGAAGATTTTAGTAGGATCGTCAACCACTGTACCTTGCAGACTGGGCACTGTGCAGATTTTCAGTTGAATAACTGTTTCTTCTCTGCTGACATTGTTCCAAACAATACACATTAAGCTTCCAGCCAGCTGACCCTTTAAGCTGATGGTAACATGTTTAAGACTGGGTTCGTCTTGTGTAGTTCTAGTCCCTGTCAGAGATTGTATGTTAACTCTACTGCTGTTCAGGAACTGGCTGTTGTCTCTTGTCTGCATGAGTAAGTTTCCGTCTAAAGTCAGACGGAACTCCACTCCATCTCCCTCAGAGGAGCAGCTGATGTTGATCTGTTCTGACGAACACGTCTGAGAAACAGCTGGCTTTGACACTGGAGCTGGAAGACAAACACAAAGAAACATGTTAAGTACCTACAGTACAAAATACAGGGCAGAATAACCTAAACTTTGTTCTTTTTGGAGCTATAGCTTTTTTAAATTCCTATTTTAATGGTTAAACTAACTCCTGAAAAAATCTTTTAAGTTTCATGAATATTTTGTAACTACATTTTGTAGTAAATAAGGATTAAACCCAAAGGAAATAGAACAAAATGTAGACAATAGGGAATGTAAGTTAATGGATGTGATATACAAAGTGTCACCTCCAGAACTACTTAGTTTTGGTTGTGGTGCTGTAAACCAGATTATGGAAAACTTTGTGAAATGGTTAATCATAGGCTGAAGAAGAATTCCTGGATTTGGAGAGGTTTCGGACCCTTCCCCAAAAAAAGAAATCAATTGACCAAATTGAAACCTTTTTGTTTAGGAAAAATATTTAAACATATAATGTCATGCTGGCAGATGAAGATAACAAATCATAATATATGCAAACATAGTAACTCAGCGTATTAACTGCCTACAGTTGTTGAATGTACACGTCTTTGATGTAATTTTGCATCAGGATCCTCATGCTAATAACATGCATACATTATGTTTATGTCCTTTTGTCTTCTGGTAGTCAAATGGCCTTAGAAGTGGAGGTCTTTGGTTGATTGTAAAACATTTATTAATCTCTGTCATTATTCTCTGTCTCTCTCTTTACCTTCTCAAAACTATAACAATAAAATAAAAAAATGTTGAATTTGTACTTTCAGCTAAAATTAAATCAAAGAATAAAGAGGCCTTTATTAAAAGTTTGAAGAACATGGGGTGCTGGTTGGCTCAAACGCTAGAGCAGGGGTGTCAAAGTCCTATTGGGTCGGGGGGCCAGATTTGTGCAAATGAGACTTCCAGTGGGCCGGACTAATTTTGCAGATATGACTATAACTCAACACATGGATATATTGTCTGCTGAATGATTAGAAAAAAAAAGACAAAATAAGGTACTTGTATAGAAAACTGCATGCAAAAGCATAAAATGTAAAATTACATTAAGCAGAGGGGTAAACTCTGGCATTGCAAACTGCATGTTGGCACATTGAAATAATTAAATGTTCCACAATACAGAAGAAAACAACAATATTTAGGTTTTGTATAAATGTCTTTGAGATTATTAGATTCTTTTTTAATTTTGCTGTTCATGGTTAAAGAAACATTGATACAGATTTACTTGCCCTGGGATCAGTGCATTAATAAACAGAGTACAGTGAAGAGAGATTAATATGAGCCCTGGCAGTCCATTCTTCTACGTGTCCGTACTATCTTAATCGAACTCTGTCCCCTACTTTTTATGCACCATGAATCTGTGCTATCTCCTTGCGCAATTCAAGGAAGCATTTTAGCGCTGCTCTGCGCGATTAACCAGCGGACCTCTGTGCACCTTTGGTTAAGTCCCTTAGCTCTTATACAATTCTGGCAAATTGTGAGCAAATAAAACTAACGAAATGCTGCTCCTCTGATCTCTCTTGAAAACCTGCGTTCTGTCACCTCTCTTCTCTCTCTTCTTTTTGTTCAGGCTGTTTCCTGATTAATGTAACGCAGGAGCAGCTCACGCGCTCGGCCACTTGTCGTTTTATGTTTAAATGCCCCGTTCAATTCATTTTTGTATCATCATATTACCCTTTTACGTTGCTAATTATAAATGGGTTTTTATTACTATTTGGGGAAAATAAATATTAAAAATATTTAATTTATAAAAAATATCCTAAATACAATACATTCAATAGATTTCCCCCTTCTTCCCAAAATGTCTCGCGAGCTAGATGAAACCTGCTGTCGGGCTGGACATGGCCTGCGGGCCGTGTGTTTGATATCCTGCACTAGAGCAATACTCTTATAGACGTATAGTAAAAAACCGATTGCATCTTTTTTCCTGCAAGTGACCATTACATCTTTATTTTTAACACGGACAATGATTCCTGTCGAACAGGATCTTTCAATAACATAAAGACATATCAGTGTCACACACTGAAATACAATTTAACTTACCTTCAATTTCTACGTGCACATTTACTTTTCTTATTAAAGTCCCTTTTATAGTATATTCATGCAACATGTAGTCTCCAGAGTGTTTCTTTGTTGCTTTTCCTAATTCAAGTCTTCCCTTGGTGTAAAGTTCAGTCTGATTGCTGTGATTGGCGTATTCCTCATGTAGACTCTCTATCTGATTTTTGTATGATTTTAAAATCATATATTTCTTGTCTTTCTTCAACCTTACATCTGTATCTGCAGTGTTTGGCAGGTGAAAAATCAGCAGTTGTCCCACCGCTCCATAACATTGCTGAGTTCCAGTAGCTTCATGGAAATTACATTCAATAGAGCCTGAAATCAACAAACAAAAAATCTTAAACAATAGTGTCTTACTTCAGTTGCAAAACTTTGTAAAACAAGAAGGTTAAAGCATTTTGTCATTAAATGCAAATGTTTTAAATGTATATAGCTGCCTTAGTCATACTGTATACTTTAATTTAACCAGTAACTTGATGGCTAAATGATTAACTATTAAACTAGACTTCTAAATTCATTACTATGGCAAACTTTTTTTCTCTTTGATCAAATGTTAAAACATTTTTTAGAGAATAACAGACTATAACACAGAACTGCCACCAGATACGTGTGCATTGCATGTCTACTCCACTCGGGTACGGCTCTGTGCTCCCTCGCCAGTCGACACTCGCAGGCAGCTTTATCAGAGAGCCTCACAGAGCAGCGCCGACGGACAGTTGGAGTCCTGAGAAACAAGGAGTTACCTCCTTATTTACAGTATCATGCAGAACAGCGTGAAATAATATGATATACAGTATGCCATAAAAAACTGTATAAAAACCCTTATTAAACATAAGGTCATTGTGTTGAAATTGATGCGCCTTAATCCGGCACAAATAGAAGCCTTGCAGAAGACTCTGGACTGCTGGAGCCGGGACAGAGCTGAGACGCACACACATTGACTAAAGTAAAAAGCTATCAGCTCTGCTGCCGTGGCGGAGCGGAGACGGACAGAACACGCATCTGGTGGATTTAGCAGTAACACATTTTAAAACTGTAGTGTACCTTGTGCCAGAGCTGTTGCTGCCAGAGCTGTGATGATCACGTAGAAGTGTTTCATTTTCTTTCTGTTGTATAATATACATTTAATGTAATTAAAATTCTACTTTTAATTATCAAATTATTGAGACAGTTGCACATCAAATCTAAAAATAAAATGTTACAGTATTTTAGAAATGGAAAAAAAGACATCCTCAGATTTAAGAATTCTTCATACAATTGAATAATAAAATAAATAAATAAATAAATAATAAACCTACCTGCTTTCTTTCACCAATCTCAGCTCAAAAATGTTTCAATCATATGTCGTGATATACTCACAGAAGTGTGATGTCTCACGCTGAGGTTATTTTAGACTGACCTGTTTTTTGACTGAGGGCTGGTGAAAACTCTTCTCGTCTTCTTCTTGTGATCTCATATGATTCAAGGAAGTGTTTTTAAAAGTGCTTACCACAAATTGCCAGTTAACAAAATACAAAGAACATTTTAAATATGAGATTACTTGAGACTGATTGTTGTAATCATAGTTTTTCAATTGTGAAGCAGTGTCTGACCAGTTTAGAACAAAGCTACAGTACATTGATCTGTTTTCAAATGTCTTTACAACATCATGTAACCCAAAATGTGGGAACTGGTACGTTGGCAGCAACAATAAACCAATGTCTATAATCGGCCATAGCTCTTCTTCTGGTTGTCGGTACACCAACCAAAGGTCTTTGGTTTGATATTTCACACATATACTTAATTATACTGTGCATGTGGTAACTATTGTTAGCAATATTATTTAGCAATAATGTCACACGGTATTTATTGAAGTAGCTGTTTAACCTTTGAGGTCATACATTTAGATGCTGGTTACTCTTAACAGCCACATGCGCATAAATGGCTCAAAATATATATTTTTTAAATAATGACTTTTATTTCTAATATGCCAACATGAATTAAACACTTTATGTACCTATAAGTTCCAAGTTACAAAAAAGCAGTGTTGTAATCTAGTCCCCAAGTCCGGGGAGTTACCAAAGAAAAGTCAGAGTCCTACCTCAACCTGAGTCCTCAAGGTTGAGTATGAGCCAAGTTTCAAGACAGGCTTTAGTTTAGCGCATTCATTTATCGATCTTTGATGTTAAATGCTTCTGAGCTGAGCTATAACTATTTGTGTGGTCATGGTCATACTGTACCGCTGTATGAGAGAGTGTGATATTGTTAAAAAAGGGTTGGGCGATATGGACATATCAATATCGATAATTATCATGATAATTGTCAAATCATTTATTCTTTAAGATTTAAAGGCTGATTTTTGCTCCTGAGTGAAAGTTGAAGAAACCACATGATTAACTATGGTTTAATTATTCTTTATTGTCAGAACATGACAAACTGTAATTAAACAGAGACATTTCACCATCATAAGCGCAGTGCACAGAGCTGGAAAACGCTGATTTCACCGTTTGCTGCTGGGGAGTCACACTTACTGGCCTGGTGTTTACTGTGGGTCCACACCCTGTTTATATTTTTTTACAATATGGTCCACACTAACACTTGTTTGGGACGTTTGTTGATTTCTTTCTCTCTGTGTTCTAACGGTTGATTTTCTTTCAAACACTGGGAAATGTTAGTGGTGTTGCCCGTTTTAGCTGCACTTGTCTTCAGCACAGTTAACAGAGCATGTTACTCGTTTTTGTCGGACTGTAAATAGCCAAACTATCTCCAAACTCCTGAAATGGAGCGGCCTTTCTAGTCGTCTCGTCGACGATGTTTTCTTCTACTTTGAGCTGGTAGGCTCAGCGTTTTCTTAGGTGTGGCTATTGCTCAGATCTCATTTCAGCTGTGTTTCCATTCCGCTCCAGACGTCTCTAAGCCTACCCATATCCCTGCAACATGATTGGCTGTTCATCGACTTTTTGTTCTTCTCTCTAATGTTAGGTGGCAACTAGCCCCCCCACCCCCTTTTCCCAGTGGTTGATGGTGTAATCACATGTTTAAATCTATCAACCTTTTATTGAACATTTTTATATTTATATTAGGAAAAATCATATCGTGATGATTATCGTTATCATTTTGGTAAAAGTTCTGTAAAGAAATAACGATAAAGTTCCTGTGTGACATTTGGAATGTGGTCTGTGTGCATTTGACTTAAAACTGACTTTGTTTTCAACAGCCAGCTGCACAGTGTCAACATTTTCATGAAAAATATCAAAAAAAATTAACTAAGTGTTCGTGGGAGAGCATGCTCATTGAATAAAATAAAGAATACATATTCCTTTCCTGCATAACAAAATACACAGCTGTGTATATTTTTTTAGTTTCGCTCAGAGCAGTATGTGGAACAGCCTGAAGAGGCACAGACAGTGAGAGGAGAAATAGGCAAAATGGCGGCTCTATGCAAGAAATGTTTTATATTTACACAATATTAACTATATCAATATGAACTATATTGTTTAACCCTATATCTCATTTGGAAATATATCCATATTTCTTAAAAACTCTATATGTAGCCCAGCCCTAGTTAAAACACAAAGTCTAAGTATGAAGTTATTATAATATGAAGTGCAAGCTACGAGGTGAGTTTTTTACTTGCGTTCTATTTATGTATTCATGTCTTCTTCAGCTTTTTCCTTTTTTTAGATTAGAGAAGCTTTTTACAGCTCCTGTCAATGTATTCATAGTTAATAGCATGACACATTTAAGCAGCAGAACAAAGAACCAAGTCTGAGTCTGTCGAATTCTGAAAATAAGGGCTTGATTCGTACTCCAGTTTTGGACTCGAGCTTATTGTATGATTGAAAAGAAAATATTCTTGTATTTCTGCAAAGGACACGAGGACAGCAACTTCCTGTTTCTCACACAGTATGGGCATGTTTGATTTCAAACCCATGCTCTATATTTAACAAGGAAACTGCTGCACCTCAAATCATTCTCACAAGCAACTCGGGTAATGCAAAAATCAAACCACATGATAGAGTGACAGCTTATACGTTTTTCTGTGGCTTTCGCAGAACCAGTACGGAAAATGTTTATTCAAAACCCATGCTCTGTATTTAACATTGGAAACTGCTGCACTTCAAAGCATTCTCACATGCGTGACTCACTCGGGTAATGTAAAAACATGTTAGAACAACAGCTAAAAACCACGGCTTACACATTTTCTGTTGCTTTCTCAGGCCCATTGCTCTTGCAGTCCCAGGAGAGTGTTGCTTTCTGCTGTTTACTCAGATTGCTTTCAAATATGAAGTATGCCAACCGGCAACAAGATGATTTTATTATCTCTTGTAAAGAAAATCAAGGTTTTTAGAAAAGTTAGAGGGAGAAAACACATGGTTTCAAACAGTAAAAAAAGAAGTCAAATCAGGGATTGGTAGGCTCAGCCATTGGGCCAATCAGAGAGGAGCTTTTTTTTATTATTGTTGTCAAGCTATATTGAAGAATTAAATGTTTTACACAAGAAGGATTTTAAACCGTCATGCTTAACAATGAACTTCTACAGTCCTGTTAATGTGTACCAAGCTTGCAAGAGTGTTGTAACTATAAAAACACTCTGGTGGTCATTTATTAATTGTTCTCGTGGAACACTTAAGAGGAGACTGCTGCTAGACTGTCCTGTTGGCGGCAGCTTATTTCCATGGTTAAGGAGAGGAGGAGTGGAGTGATGGCAGAGGTGAAGACAGAACTACTCTGAACCAATATATATTTAGTTTGCTGACTAACTAAATATATATATATATAGACTGTAGCCTACCTGTATAATCATTTTAGTGAGTGGCTCTGTGAGGACTTTAAGGAGTTCAGGAGCTTCTTCTGCAGTACTGAGTCACAGTGTGTCGACCACGGCCTGTGACAGTCGCCTCAGCAGCCCACTCGCGGTTTCCAGAGAGAGAAGCACCATAACAGACAGCCAGTTAAAACAGTCGTGGACTGTAGCGCCAGCAAACTCTCTACAAAAGAACACAATATAAGATAGATATTATTTGTATTTTTCCTGCCAAACACATTAACATAGATACTAAACACATTGAAATACAGCTTTACCTTTCAAAATCTCTCTCCCCAGTTGCATTAGAGCAACAATTGTATTGGTGACTGATGTTCCGATGTTGGAGCCCATAATAATAGGAATGGCTGACTGAACATCCAGCACTATATCAAGTAAAGATTTGTAAACAAAACAAAAAAACAAGTTTGATTTGATTAGTTGAAGAGTAGCGATGTGGTTGTCTGTTGACCACATCTTGTCGGAGTGCAGGCTTTGAATATTTATTTGTTTGTTTGTTTGTTTATTTAACATGGACATACAGTAACATTGGTGCTGTAACATTTAACCATGCACAAGTTCCAGATGCACTGCTCTTAGTGTTTATAGCAAAATGCTAATTTGCAACACCTGTCCACGGGAAGCTTTTAGAAACAACAGAGATAAAGATAAAAAGGGTAAGAAAAAGAAAACAGTTCAGTTATAAATACATCGCAGTTATGAATGCAACAGGGATAAAATACAGTTACAGAGAGAAAAATATACAAGCTCATGTGCGTTTAGGTGTGAGAACAATGTTGTTTCTCCTTCAGCCATGATTTAATACCTTAGTTAAAATCATTTAAACTGTGTCGCATTTTCAGTTCAGTGGGTAGACCATTCTATAGATTAGCTCCAATAACAGAGAAGGCTGATTGTCCAAATGAGGTTTTTCGCATTGGAATGCAACAGTTACCGCTTACTGAAGCGCATGTGTTGATTCGACTTGAATCCTGACTTCTCGTTACAAATTCATTAAAACAGAGAAGGTGCCAGACCATGCAGACATTTAAACATTAATTTGAGGTTGCAGTAGCTAATGAAGCTTTCAAAGCTAAACATATTGTGCACCTCTAATGTGAGGCTTGAGACCAAAAACTGATGCAGTATGATAGATGTGATAATATTATAGCATGCATATATAGCTGAGCTGTACTAAATGAGAGGTATTTTCTAATGATTCTGAAGCAGTTTAGATTAGATCTAGCTTTTTTGCAGGTGTAATCTGTGTGTTTTTCGAATCGTAGGTGTGAGTCTAGAATGATCCCTAAGTACTTTACATCTTCAACCGCATTAATGGTCTCATTATTTATTTTAACTAAGAATGTTTCTTTATCCCTTAGTTTGCGCATAGAAAAGCATATTGAAACCGTTTTTTTAATATTTAATGTTAAGTGAGAAGACTCAAGCCATTTTGCAATACAGTGCAAGGAGTCATTGAGGTGGGCAGCAGCTTTGCTAGCAGATCTTGCAGGTGTGTATATAACCGTATCGTCGGTGTACATTTGGCAGCCAACTGCAGGACAGATCTCAGGTAGGTCATTGATGTACATGCTGAATACCAGCGGACCTAGAACTGACCCCTGGGGTATCCCCATGCTGTTGTTACGGAAGATGGACTTTTGCCCATTGACTCTGACACATTGCACTCTTCCACTTAGGTATGAGTCAATCCACTGCGAAGCCTGATCAGAAAATTGAAATTTAGAAAGTTTGGATAGCAACACATTGTGGTTAACAGTGTCGAAGGCTTTTTTCAAGTGTAGGAAAACTGCTCCCACAATGTGTCCCTTATCCAGAAAGCATTCTATTTTCTCAATAAGATAACAGTTTGCAGTCTCAGTAGAATGTTTGGGTCTAAACCCGAATTGTTGTTGATGCAGCAAGTGGTTTGTCTCAAGATGTAGTATGAGTTGCTCTGCAACAACTTTTTCTAATATCTTGGCCACAACTGGGAGAATGGCAATGGGTCTATAATTACATGTCAAGTCTGGCTCACCACTTTTGTAAATTGGACTGATAATGGCTTTTTTTTGTTTGGGTTAGGGTTAGGGATGTGTTATTGGCTTAAGTAATTGAGTTCTATGATATTTTATCAGTTCACCATCCAAATCATGAATATCCCTAGTCTTTGAGTTGTTCAGGTTATTCATGATCTTACTGACTTTTTCCAAAGTTACTTCTTTGATATAAAATTCATTTTGAGTTTTCTGACTGAGTGTGTCTGGTCATAACTCGACAGGTTTGAAGTTTTTGGATAGTTCCTGAACTGATTCTATAAAGAAAGCATTAAACTCACTTGCAACTGATGCGTTGTCTGAAGTAAATTTGTTGTTTATCGTTAAACCCTTAATTCTATGATGTTTTGTGGCACTGGAGTTGGTTAAAGTGTTAATGTGCTTCCACAGGGCAGAGCTATTACCTTTGGACTGTTCAGTGTTAGTTTTAGAGATAAGACATTTTTTAAGGGCAAAGTCATGTCTTTTCATTAATTGCCAAAGGTCTTGAATAAACCATGGGAGCGAGTTTCTTCTTGGTCTGCTCTTCCATGTTTTAGTGTGTTTGTTAATTAATCCAGTGATAGCTGTTATGAAATTATCACAGCATTTGTCCACGTTATGTGTTTCTGTTACTGTGGACCAGTCCATTTGCATCAAGTCCCTTTCAAATTCTGCTCTTTTCTGTTTTGGAATGCCTGATTTAATGGATTTAGTGTCCTTTTTTGTATGATGAACCATTCTTTTCTTAGTTAGCTTCCTAACAACTAGTGTCATATTATGATCTGATAGGCCTGTGATCAGATTGCAAATTCTAGTTATTCTTTCTGTCCTGTTTGTGAAAACAAGGTCAATTAGAGTTTTACTTGTCTTCGTTATTCTAGTAGGTTTATCTATTATTTGGTTATAATTAAATTTTGTAGCCAGTGCTTTCAGTTTTCGTTTAGCAACTTTATCCATCCAGTTTATATTATAGTCCCCAAGCAGAATTGATTCAGAGGAACAATTCGATATTATGAGCAGCTTTTTTCAGTTCATCATAAAAACTTACATCATGTGAAGGCGGATTATACAAAACAGTTACATTAAAATTCATTTTTGGTGAGAGAATAATATTCACCCCCAGGCATTCAAGATTACAGTTCAGCTGTATTTCTGTACATCTTTTATGATCTCGAATGTATATCAGAACCCCCTCCTCTCCCCGATAATATGTCTTTCCTAAAGCAAGTGTATCCTGGAATGTTTACGAGGTTGGATGGTATGTCACTTCGAAGCCAGCTCTCAGTGAGACATAGAAAGTCCAAGTTTGAGTCCACAAGCAGGTTCTGTATTTGGTCTATTTTGGGCAGTAAGCTTCTAATATTAAGGTGACCACCAAAAATACCTTTAGGTTGTTTGAAAATACAGATGCTGACGTTGTTTTATCACGAGCCGAATCCTCATCCTCCTCAATCCTGGATTTAAGTGCACATCACCGGCAAGTAGAAGAAGAGTAAACAAAATCCGAGCAGCTCCCCAGCCCGCGTCTGGTGGCTGTGTGGCTCGTCCCGAACTCGCTGCTGCATGTCGGCCGCCGTGGTGGAAAAGGGAGGCGATAGCCATGTAGCCATGACCATAGAAGTTAATCCGTGGTTTGATGGATAATAATCCCATTGGATCTATGATGCAACTTCAGGCTTTGAGGCTGAGTTTTGCGATCAGGTCTTCCGTATGGTCACAGGTGTACACCAGAGGAAGCAGCAACAGTAGACCACAGAGCAGGTTAGAATTATTGCTTAGCTGATAGACATGCTTGATCAGTTGGTACATTAAAGGAGGAAAGAAAAAAGTCAGGAAGGCTAAAGTTTGGAGATGAGTGGAGCCTACCACACCGCTCACACCTGTCGCCTTCATCCCAAACCTGTCACATTGTAGTATCCTATTACAAATATTTTACTGATCAAATTGCAGAGCTAAGAGCTAACTTTTTGTGCAGTTTACAGCTTTATGACACTAAAAGAGCTAGAATATTGCAATATACTATCAATAACCCACAAATCTTGAAGATTTGTTAATACCTAAACTCACAACCAGAAGAGAGGAGGCTGACTATGATTGAGTTAGATGTGGAAGAGCTTTGAACTAACACAGTCACCAGTATTCCCACCACCAGCCCAGCCACTGGGTTGGAGAGGAGAGCATTTTTGTGGAAGATATCCCCTGCTACCCTGCCTGAAACAGAAACTTATATTTATATATATTGCTATGTGTATATTCTTACACAGATGTAAAACATAATACACATTTTATAGAGTTAAAGAAAGGAAAAAGACAGTAGGGCTTGAAGGGTAGAGAGAAGTGAGCACAAGAAGAAAGGGAGGTGCTACTGTGAAGTGTATTAGTTGAGCATGGTTGACTGTTTAAAACTCTTACTCATTCTTTTTTTTTTACATTTTTATCCCCCTCTGCTTCATTCATAGACTATTTATGAATGACAAATTATGAATTTACAAATTGGGCGAAAGCAGAGATGACATAAAAGTCACCTCACTGCTACTGTATGAGAACATAATGAACTTCAGTGCAAGACCAGATGAACAGCAACATCTAGCTGTTGACCTGACATTTTGTTTTGTTGAACTTTATTTACTTTATTTTCACTTGAGACACTATGCAGGGATTTAGAAGGAGTTCATTTGTTAAACCATGTTGATAAACTTTCATTGACCAGTGTATCCAAATGTTTCCTTCTTTTACTATCAAAAAAATCGATCACTTGTCCGATCAATACATTCTTAAAACCAGGGCAACTGCTTTTATTCCCAGAGGCTGCCATGATTTTGCAGAATGAGAGTTTCTCACAGCTGCAAAGAGATAAAAGCTTTGAGAGATTAAAAATCAGTAGTTATTTGAGAAGTTTCAACATACATTTTTTTCATGTAAAAACTTGTGAACTTGTCCTCTGAGGCAGCAAGCTATAAACTCTTCAGAGCCACCCCTGTGCAAGCCCACAGGGGTAGACTGCTCAAGTCAAAGACTTGTAAATTCACACAAAATGTTAACAAAATAATCCAGTATGTACTTTTTTTTTGTATTTTCAACTACTAAGGAATACTGCTTATTCGGGGCAAACTTTTCCTCCATTCTTGAGTGTCATGATTTTTCAACCAAACAGCAAAGATAAATAAAATATACCTTGATCTAAACTGCAGTGTTACACAAAACCACTGTAGGGGTGTACTGACTTACAGTTGAGGATCAAGTTTTTGTTCACATACTACTGAGCAGCATGGATTTAGAAAAGTGTAGGTTTAAGTGCTCTTTGCACGAGGATACATGCAGTCAAAGAAAACAAGAAAGTACGAGGGCATTTTATTTTAAATGCATTAAAATGCATTCATTATTGCACTATGGTCTTTTAGACCTTAAAACAAACTTCAGTATTTTTCAGCATCAAGTCTTCACCTGGAAGTCAAACTAATGTTAGACCCATTTGCTCAAATTCCCGCACATTAAGGTGTAACAAATATGGAGTTAGATCAGTCTCAATATTCACAAATGCACACAGAAGGATTCACAAATATATTTCAATGCACACAAATATATTTCATTCTATAGTACGACAATCACAGAGACTATTTGTGCTGGTCAGTTTAGAAAATGACTTAATCAGATTTTCTGATAGCTAGGCTAATCACTGTATGCGCAGATGCAACGCTAAAGTGATCACATTAAATCATACCCTTGAATCTATGCTATTGTGATTGGCTGAATAGGAAGGAGACATCTGATTGGCTACAGACATTTCCCTGCTGAAAAAAATGCATTTGTGAATCTAACCACGGCAGGGGAGTCTCAAAAATCCCACACACAAATGCACTGAGGTTCACAAATGACAAACAGTTTGTAAATGCAGACTGAACAGTTTATATATTTGTGGATTTCTATTACATATAAAACTATACATGTGTGTGTGAATCAGAAATACATTTGTGAATCTTATTTTTTTATTTGTGGATTTGTTTTACATTTAGAAGTAAATATATTTGTGAATCCTTCTGTATGCATTTGTGAATATTGAGACTGATCTAACTCCATAAACAAATCATTGATTATTGGATTGCAAGATTCCATACTGATAAAAACACAATAGTTTGCATGTGTATTACAGTGTTGGTGTTTAATTGCTAAAAAGTATTATAACTTGTTGATTTCTGAATGTCAGAGGTCTATCAAATGGCCTAGAAATTTACCTTTTGGGGTTAATGGAAATGTAGCAAACGCAGTTGAACTGTTTGCTTCCACTGGGTGGTGCCTGGAGGCGTGTATCTTATTTCCTACAGGTTTTTCCACAAAGCTTATTATGTACAGCTAACAAAACGGAGCATTGAGGATGTGACTGTACATGTTAGAGTTGTGGGAAGAAGAGCAAAAGGCCTTCTGCCGTCTGTCTGACAATGAAGGATTATGCGGAGAGCATCGCCTTTCTGGGTCAGTGGGGACTTTTCCAGCAGGTTGTATTCTTCCTGCTCTGTGCCAGTATCATGCCTAATGGATTTGGTGCCTTTACACTCGTCTTTGTGAATGATATACCAATTCACCACTGCTTTGTTCCTGAGGCTAACCTGACTAGGGAATGGCTTGAAGCAATCATACCCGTAAAGGTGAGATTTCCGGTTCTACTTGTCTACTTCTGTTTTCTAAGTCTTGTTGTAGAGACTTTTTTAGGGCATATGTCATTATGATGTCACGGTATTCGCTGGAAAGGCAAAACCAAGCGAAACTATAGGGAAATACATATTGCCACCACAGGGTAGTAGGCAACAATAGAGTCTTAAAATGTCAAAGGAGGAGAAGTAGAAGGAGAAAGTCACTTCATACCCAGCAGTGCAACCACAGTTCACCATCAGTATGTAGTTGCTTGCTCTATTAACAATGACCCTAGCCTTGTCTTCTGTCCTTGCCGCTGGCTGGGCAGAAGTTCGGACAGTAAGACACAAAACTCATTAGTTAAGTCGTGGTGTTTAAAGATCTGTAGCTGGCCGTTTACGACAGTTATAGGCAACTAAGGACTTGTGCACCCTCAGTTTGTCTTTACTATACACACTCTGTTTTTAGAGCAGTTCTACTAAGTGAGAGCGTACGAGATGGGTCAGCCAGTCTCTTCCTACTCGTCAGTGTTAACTTATTCCAGTAACACTCTATCTCATGCCAAAAACAACTAAGGCCAGCCCACCAAAAAACGTCACAATGTTGATGAACACTTAAAGGGTCTATAAATTCCTCTTGAGTGACACTCCAGGATTATAGTTGCTTGATAGAATGGTGTGATCATGAAACTTTGAAAGATGTGCATCAGGATTTAAGAAAGTTAGCGGAACTTTATATAATATAATATAACTATAATCCTGGAGTATATTTTTTTGTGTGGGTCTGTGTTAAATCCACTGTAGGTAGTTGCACCTGCCCTGGAATGTTAAAAAATGCATTTGAACCTCAATTTTTCAACATGGGGATAAGACACGCCCACTCACCCAGTCCGGCCTTCACAATCAGCAGCAGACAACGTACATTTATGCAACACACATATGAACAGATTAGAAATTTAGCTTTGATATTTATCCACGAGCAACAACTCAAGCAGCTATGACACTTTTGCAACAGAAATTTTGTTTGGGGTAGAGGATTTTTCTCCTTCCGAGTCTCCTGTAGGCCACGACCACAGCGGTCCAGAGCTGTATCAGTTTGAACCGTTGGCACAGGCACTGAGTGCAGAGACTGCCGATGCCAGGAGATTATAAGGGCTGCTCTGAGAGGTAGATGATGCCCCCTTAGATTTATTTTAAATTTTCAACAGTTGCTCCTCTGGTTACTTCTCTAAGCTCTCTCCTCGAGAGAAAGTCTGCTGCAAGGAGGTGGCAAAGGTAACAGCACACCAAGAGCCATAACATAGCAACATATGTGTGACCCAATACTGCGACCTAACACTACTGCAAATAATACATAAAGACCATACTGCATGATTAGCTGGTGTGTATTGAATACAAGAGAATTTGTGCAACTTTTAATTTCATGCCAGTGATGCATTGGTGCGAGCAGATTAGGGAGCCTGTAACACTGCTCACTCAGGTTTTGTACCATTTGTTCTACAACCCCTGCTTCAGACTGTGTATGGGACATCCATGCAACTGGTGCCATGCAGGAACAAGATCTCAGTGTTAGAACTAACCGTGCCTAAGCACAATAACCTCTTGTACATAACATCGTAATACAACACCTGCATGCGTGCTCAGTTGACAGAGAGAGAGAGACCGACCTAAAAAAGACGATTTTTACCTCTTGGGAAATAAAACATAAATCTATATTTTGCTTTTGGATTATTGTATTGAAAATGTAAAATTTGTTTTATATAAGCTGTTGCTATTCAATTATATTTGACATTTGTTCAGTTTGTTTTTTATCTCAAAGTGTAGTAATAAAGCAATGGAAATTACCAGGCTTGCAAAAGATTGCTTTATACTGTAAAGTTGTGCACAGTACAAATATAATCTCACTGAGTTTTTAATCAACCTGTCATTTTGTCTATCAGGTTATAAATGGGGAAAAGGAGCGGAGTAGTTGCAGCAGATACAGGCTGGGTGTGGTCAAAAATCTCTCTGCTCAGGGTTTAATCCCTGGCAGAGATATTAACCTCACCGAGATGGAGCAGGAGAGCTGTGTGGATGGGTGGAGCTACAGCAAAGACATCTACCAGTCTACCATTGTCTCTGAGGTAACTGCGCATCCAAAACTGTAAAAACACTGTCATATTTTTCCAAGCCTTTGGATGCCTGTAGATCGTTTGCAAAGTGAAACGTCAACTAAGTGACATAATATCAAATAAAGGCCATACTGACACACCTACTGTCTGTCAGCACAGCTGTCAGTACTATCTGAATATCATACTTCTGTCAAGATCCTCTCTACAAACAAATGTAAGCATTGTTAAAGCCTACTGCCAACCTCTTTCATCATATTGCATCCAATATTATTTTTAACTTCTGGCCAGACTGGGTAGACATGCCCTCCATTCATTCATTTAAAGTAAGTGGTTGTGATAAGCCTGCTCATCCAGCCTTTCCTGTCAGTGGCTTTAATTGCTCACACTTTCTGCTTTCTGCCATAACCGTAACTCCGAAATGAAAGAGGTAAAGATTGGAATGTAACCTAGTTTAGTAGAGTTTACATACATAATGTTTAACATTCATGAAAATTTAAGAAATTCAACAGATTTGTAGTTACAAAATAGCACTGATTTAAAAATACACCACCAATACAGAAAATGTACTCAGTAAATGGGCTCTTGGGAGGGGAAGAACTAGAGCTTGTCAATGAGTTTAACTACCTGGGGCTCATCCTTGATTCTTCACTTTCTGTCAAGAGCCACATTAAAAAAAAGTGTCTAACGCTGTCAAATTGAACCTGTATAATTTAAAGCAAATCAGGACATCTTTGACTGAAGGTGCTGCCTTTATGTGTTTGCATTCTATGATATTCTCACATATTAACTACTTCAAAATCAGTTGGTCACTTACAGTAGCAACACTGAAACCTGCAAAATCTCTGTTTTAAAAAAGCCTTCTCGTATCAGCATTGCAACATCCTTCTAAAGTACAAGCTATTAAGCTATGACAACTTCCAAAAATTTAAAACTGCCTGTTTGATGTATAAAGTGCTACATGGGCTGGCTCCCCCTCCACTAAATGATCACATCAAACAGCAAGCTTTCAGTGACTCTTCAATTAGAACCACCAAAGCCACTGTTAGAGGTGCCTGCAAGATTCACCTTAGGCAATCGACCTTTGGTCATAATTCTTTGCCGTTCAAAGGGAGCACATTATGGAACAGCTTACCACTGTCAGTCAGGGAATGCTCCACCTTTACCCCTTTCAATGGTCATCTGAAGCTGGGGCATAGAACCAACCAGATCTGTGACCATGTATAAAAATCTATCTTTAAGTATGCCTACATACATAAATCTATGTAGATAACCCCAGTGCAATACTGCATACAGAAACATATCTACATATGTGAACCTCAGTATGTGCATGAACATGTCTGTCTGTACATGCTAACTCTGTGCAATAGGACTATGTGCATTCACACCAGTACTTTAAAGTAACAGGCTCCAGGGCAAATGTCTAATTTACATCTGTACCTCATAATCAATTAGTAGACACATTGAGTTTTATTTGGCCTCATGTAGAACCAGCATCAGAGAAGACATAAAGAATGTGTTCAATCAAACAATTGAAATGCATAGGAACATCAATGTATCATAATTCATGTTTTTGTTGTCCTTATTTGTTCATTTATGATCTGTTAGTTTGACCTGGTGTGCAGTGAGCAGTGGAAGCAGCCATTCACCTCCACAGTGTTCTTTATTGGAGTTGTTTTTGGATCCTTCTTCTCAGGACAGCTTGCAGACAGGTAATTAAAGAAGAAAAAAAAAAAAGCTCCATGTGATTTAAAGTGTTATACATAATACATACACTGTTTCTTGGGCTTTAGGCAATTTTCTAAACTGCTTCTATTTAGCAGCTGCATTTACCAGTTACAGATACTTGGGTCTTAGTAGTGTTTGTGTCAATTTTCAAACTGTGATTGGATTTCACATGTATGACTGCACTATCCTGTAAAAAAAATTGTAATCAGGTGTAAACATTTGGCATATCTGCTTTTTGGACAGAATTTTCCTTTTAAAGGGCCAAATTAGCTTCACCTCAACAAGCTGAATTAAAATGCATCTGATATTGTAACATTTCAATAATAATGTGCTGATTTAATGTATTCCCTTGATGTCTTGACATGTATGTGTATGTGTATACACACTCCATTTATAACACAAAGTGTCCGTTTATAATTACACATGCACTTTTGAATCTTGGATTACATTGTATGCACAATACTTCTGTAGAAGGGTAGACTGACATATTAAAATAGAAGAGTGCTTCTTCCACCATTGAATTGCACAGTACTCTTTCATGACCCTAAGACGGTTGTTTAACTTTGTTTATTGAGTATTTGTATCCAAATATTTATCATTCATGACTATTCAAGAGTAAACAATGTGTTTGTGTTGAGCACATCTTGCGACTAGTTCTCCAACCTGTGAAGTGGAAGTGTCAAAGGAAAACAATACTCTGTTGTATCTCAATATGACCTGTTTTTAACTTCTTTATAGGTTTGGAAGGAAACCGGTGCTTTTTGCAACCATGGCCGTTCAGACAGCTTTTACCTTCATTCAAGTGTTCTCCGTCTCATGGACAATGTTTACCATCCTCCTCTTCATGAACGGTTTGGGACAGATGTCCAACTTTGTAGGTGCTTTAGTGCTGGGTACATATCCATATTGCATTCTATCTAACTTCCTCTACAGTTTAACTCATTTAAACTCATTCAAATTTAGAATATTTTTAGATTCTGAAAACATGCATTTTCTTTCACTTATTCATTACCTGTCCCTCTCTTTGACTTTTTATCTGCTGTATGTCTGCAGGCGCTGAGACCTTGACTGGAAACGTGCGAGTCCTTTACTCGTCTTTGGGCACCTGTTTAGGTTTTGCCATCGGCTACATGATGCTGCCTCTCTTTGCTTACTTTTTGAGGGATTGGAAATCTCTCCTGCTGGCTTTGTCTGTGCCAAGTATGATCTACCTCCCCCTCTGGTGGTGAGACACACTTACTACAGGAATATTACTCTAAATTGATACAGCATTGAAGGGGATTTAGTGTACCTGTTGCATGGTTGTTTAAGTGTCTTAATGAAATAACATACCTAAACAAATTGTCTAACTCAAGTGACTACATGTCTTTGCTATCTGTGCATGAGTAGTTTAAGATTTGATCATAATCGTAATACTATCGACTAATTTTTTTCCCAAGAGAAGTATTAACCTACTTGCTCTCAGCTCATCAGATTTAACCTCTTTTCTGTGTAATTTTCAGGTTCATCCCAGAGTCTCCTCGCTGGCTGCTCTCTCAGGGAAGGGTGGAGGAGGCTGAAGCCATATTGAGAAAGGCTGCTAGGTGGAATAAAGTCCGGGCTCCAAGGGTGATCTTTGAAGGTTGCAGTGTAAGTGTTTTTTATTGTCAAGGTCTGAGTAATGTTTGAAAAGCTGGAGACAAGAACAACCACTATAAATGATCAAATGAACAGTCATAAGAGAAGAAAAGGTATATTCTCTGTCAGCTACTTTAACATCATGTAGAAGATTGATTGGCCTTTACTCTTTAGGAAACAATTGACTACGTAAGACTGACAACATGAAAACATCATGATATTGTCAACGCATTGATTTTTGAAAATTATGTTTGTTTGTTATCTTTTTTAAATTATTTAAATTTGGCTTCTAAGAAAAGAATCACAAACAGATGATGAGATTTGTGTGTGTGTCTTGTGCAGGTTATTAAGAAGGATACAAAAGGAAACCCTGAAGAACACTACAGTGTGTTGGACCTGCTGAGGAAAAGCCAGATCAGAGTCATGACTCTCGTTCTTTGCTTGTTGTCGTAAGTCAAAAAAGTTAAATCATCCAAACTCACATAATGTTCTAATGGGTAAAAACAACATAAAGTGAAGATCTTCACCAACTGGACAAAATATAAGCAGTACACACGGACAGGCGCAGAGATTTTATACTGTTTTAACCCCTAAAATCATCTTCTGTCTTTATCATTGATGGATGATAAAAATCCAACACCAAAATATATTTCTGTATGATGCGGTTTGTTTGTTCATGCGATAAGGGAAGAGGAAGAAGTGAAACATTCTGCATTTATTCGACTAAATTGTACTGAAAGAATGTTTGGCATAGAAAACCAAATACAGCTCTACTTGCAAATCTGTAAATGCAGGCAATGATTTCCTTATCAGCCTATACCAGCTGTTCACATGCTGTTATATGCAAGCCACGTTTCACACTTAAGCACTTTAAACACTGCAATAAACTCCAAGTGACTATTAACAGATAGGATATTTATTGAAAAAGGAACGCTGTATGTCATTCTTTTTATTTCAGGGTCTATGAAACCCAAATTCCAGCACTTGCTTGTCCTTTAACTCCAGAATTTGATATTTAAGCACAGTGATACGAATATCCAGCAGTAGACAGGGATTTGAGGGAATGAGGGAGGGGGTTGCTGATCCTTTTGCATCTTCTGCTCTTTCCAATTGCTCACTGTACTGTATTAATCTGTATAAAAAATTTATGAAAAATATTGTTGAGTAAACAAAAAAAGGAAAGCTTTAAACTGTAATTGTGTGTGAGATCGGCTCTCCTCCTGCACATTTCTGCTCAAATAAACGTATTCATCAATGTCCACACACTTTTTTTGAATAAGTGTGGACCTATATTTTTATCCATGAAAAAATAGCTTTGATTGTAGTACAAAATGGAAAAGATACAAAACTAAACTTTTAAAGGCAGGTAAAATGAACCTCAGGCTCTACGAGTGTCCTTTACTTGAGTGGACCTTAGTCCAATAAGAATGTGTTATAAGATGCCTTTACTATGCAGATTCCAATGAAAACATCTCTGCTCTATGTTTGTAAAACCTTCTCCCTCAGGTTCACTATGACTATTGGATACTATGGCCTATCCTTCAACACATCCCAACTCCATGCTGACCCATACATCAGTTGTTTCATCTCTGCAGCTGTAGAGGTTCCTGCTTATATTTCCAGCTGGCTGGCTCTGCTATACCTTCCACGGCGAGTGTCTGTCATCAGCTCTTTGCTGCTTGAAGCAGTGCCACTCTACCTCATCCTGCTCATCCCCAAAAGTAAGCACTTAAATAATCAACGAGTGATTGACAAGTGAAGGGGAGCTCTTAAACTAAAGAGCATACAGTGTCTTCTCTCTCAAACAGGCACCTCTCTGCCCTCCTGTCCCTGTTTAACACCCAGGACTTCAAATATTCTCAGTGCAAAGCAATGGACTTTGCTCTTAAACTAAGAAGAATTTACTATACAAATAATGTAAAAGTAACAATTACAAATTCTAGGGGTTGATTCACTTCACACAGAATATTTAAAGCCAAACTAGTCATACTGTATGAACTTGTATGCAGTAAATCATAACGGAGTGTTGGACAATAAAAAAAATGATACATCCTGCCTTTTTTTCATGCATTATAGCACTCACGAACAAACTTCTGAGCGCTGAGAGGCAGCCTGTTACAGCAGCTCTGACTCACTTTCTCTTTTTGTCTCTTTAATATTCATTTTTTTGAATTCACTTACTTTGATAGTATTGCGTTTATTTGTTTTCTGTTACTATAGTGTTTTAGCTATGCAATTCCTTGAAATGACTCGTTTCTTTTGGGACGTTTCTCTTTTTATTGTTCCGGATGTTGACGTACACCCGTGAGGAACTACTCCACTAAAGGCCTAACCCTTTGCATATTTAAGTTAAGGCTAAAGACCCAGATGTTAATGATGATGATGATGATGATGGTTTTATTTGATAATGATGATTGAAGGATGGATTTGATGCTGATTAGAACTCTCAAGAACAGCAGTCGACTGTGATTTGCCTCTCTTCACTGCCTCTCAGCACCTGTGTGTCTCATCTAGTTTAAGGCTGATCGTTTGCACTTACTGACGTTGTTCCCTCCCCTCTAGATCCTTGCTTGTGTTGTACTTACTCTATGACGTACATTGCTTTGGAATGTAAGCGTCTGCTAAATGAATTGTAGAATTGTAGCTTATGCTATAAACGCTGTAGTGTGTGGCACCAGTTTACTCGCACTCTACTTGTCCCTACACAAATAAACATGAAATAAATAAATAAATGAATCTTTTCTTATTTTTCAGGTCTGTATTATCTTTCTCTTGCACTGGAGATGTTGGGTAAATTTGCAGCCACCACCGTATCCTCCCTGATGTTTGTCTACATCGCTGAGCTTTACCCAACAGTGCTCAGGAACACTGCGACGGGGACATGCACCACAGTTTCCAGATTGGGCAGCTGCATGGCACCATTGTTGTTAGAGTTGGGTGAGTTTCCTGACACTAGATAAAAATTATCGCCATTAGTTTTACAGTATGGGATTTTAAATATTTGTCAAAACAAACAGTGACCTGACCGATAAAATGACAAAGATCCTGCGATACAGTCCCTGACATAAAGATTCATGAATAGGGTTCGAAGCTGACACTCAAAAGTTATGGAAAGTTCATAACTCATGTTAGTTTTTGTTATATTCCCTCTTCGCTTTCCCTCCTCTACACTGCTCGAATTTGTCATCAGAGCTGTCAATCGTTGCATGTTAGCCCTTTTTATCAAATCATTCATTTAAACTAAGCTTCAACGAGAAGTGAACACTGGGACTTAAATAAGCATATAAGAATGTTTGTATTATATTTTATTGTTGTTCATTGCTTAACCAATGTTCCATTTGTCAACATGGTGTGTCACACGTGTGTCATGAGGTTAGACACACCTACACCAATGAATGTCAGTAGGGAGAGCTACAATTGTTTTGGCTTCACTTTGGGGGATCTGATATGTCGTCAATATTTTCAAACATTCTATCATTGTGTCTCACACTCATTCACTTCCCCCTAATCCCTACTCCCAATTTGGGGAGTCCTCTGTAGTGGACTATATAGTGAACTCATCAGATCAGTAAATGTACTATTTCAGACACTTCGTGCTGGCTGCTGATATCTACGCCCGGTAGAGAACTAATATTAAACTGAGTGTATTTTCTCAAAACAATGAAATATAAAACATATATTTAAGTTCTGTATTGTTAATAAAAGAATGAGCCCAACAACAGATTTATTTGTGTGAACAGACACTGGTCTCATGCCTATCATCATCATTAGGAAAAACAAACGTTACTACTGTGAAAATCCTTAACCTCTATATTAAAATATTAAAAAGATTTCAGTAAAAATACCAGTGTTTTACCACACAGCATCTCATAATGGTTTTTATTGCCTGGTTACTGACTGTGAATTTTGCCCTACTTTTCACAATGCATTGTGGGCTACAATGGGCCTCATTCACCAACCGTTCTTAAAAAGTTTGTAAGTAGTATTTAAGAACAAATTAGTATTTTTAAGAAGGTTCTGGGATTAACAGATGTTTTCTTCTGTGGGATTTGTTCTTAGATAAGAACAGAAGTCACATTTCGAGTGCTGAGCGGCTTGGGGCAGAATGACGGAATGGTTATTGCATCACCACAGCCTTATTTTTTTGCTACCAGCATGTGTTTCTCTCTCTGCAGGGTCATGCACTCAAGCCCTTTTATGGGCTTTTTTTCTTTATGTCTTCTAAGTGGGCGGTTACCTTTGCTCATAGGAACAACAAGCACAAGCTTTCAACTTATGAACACGAGGAGATAAGGACACGTCTGCGAACCATTCAGTCATTTAAGATGAATCTGACGGAGAGTCATCTTAAGAACAACTTAAGAAAAAAAACGTACAAAAATTCTTCAGAACATTTTGGTGAATGAGGGCCAATGAGTCCACCATATAGCATATGATAATGTCACACCACATTACTACATATTAAGGAGTGTTCTGTTTCTGACTCAGCGTGTGTGTACACACAAAGGACCTAGCCGATTCTCTCATCTAATCTTAATCTTCTCCTTTTAGGTGGATACTTTAAATACCTTCCTTATATCATAATGGCGACCTTGGCTGTTGTGTCTTCGTTTGCTGCTCTCTTCCTGCCGGAGAGTTTTGGAAAACCTCTTCCTGAAACTATTCAACAGATGCATCAAAGAGAAAGGTAGGCTGCTTTCGAATAGCACCAGTTTATTGTTATTATTGTTTTATAATTCTTCTCAGTGCCAAAAGTGCCTTAAGTGTTATGTTTTATGATTACGAGAAACCGTTGAGTGATAAAGTGATTCCAAAATGAAATTGTTGTTTTACTTCCCGTCCAACTTCTAAAAAGTTTTATTTCATTTAGTATCCAAAGTTAAATTCTCTGACCTCTTCATTTCCATTGAGAACTTTGAGTGGGCTATATTGCCACAATATCAACTAATCCATATCAACTAAGTACTTCATATGTTTTCACACACTCTGTACAAGCACAGGTTTAAAGTTTTTTTCTAACGTTTGAAAAAGAAAAGAAAACCAGGACATGGATGTTTTTCCTGGTCTGAGTCTGTTCATTTAGTCATATATCCTAATTCTTATGTAAGAGACATTGCAGCTGACAAGTGGATTTCATGGATGGTATTTCATAGCATAACATGATAGTTAAGTGATGTACGAAAAATAGATCTTTGTGAGCACAATATTATACTTTAATTGGAAAACTATTTCAAAAATAACTTGAATTTGGAACTTTTTAACATAAAAAGGAAACAGTCTAAATTTTTCAAATGATGCCACAAAAGCAAACCGGACCACCAACCAGAAGACGAGCAGTCCTAGAGAGCTTGTTAGCCATTTTTCCAGGTAAACTCACCAATGAGTACTTTGTCAACCATTTAAAAAGACACATGGTGAGAACGGTTGAAGTGCACAGTTAATGTCAAAAATGACAAATGAAAGTTCCTTACAGCTTTTCAATCATCAAATGTTGGCATTTATAATGTGCACCAAAAAGGTTGGGAAGCATGTTGTTAAAGAGAAGAGTGCAGAAAGTTTTGAATAAGATTTGTAGAACTTTATCGATATAAAGCCGGTAACAAATATAAAAAAAATTGAAAAAGGGAATGATTAGCCCTAGTTTAAATGAGGAATATTGCACATATTAATGTTGTCTTTTTCCCTCATTCAACAGAATAAAGTGTCCATGCATCCCTGGAAAAGAACCCCCAAAAACCTTAGTACTCCTGGACAGTAAACTATGATTATCTGCTGAAGTAACACTTCACTGACAAGTTCATTTATTGATATTTCTTTCCAGCACTTGTACTTTTTTACATCATATATTTTTTTAAATATGGATAAATATCTTGAATAAACTGGTGAAAATTAAAAACTAATAGCTTGACTTTTTTTTATCTATTTAGAAACTTCACCACTCATCAGGCATCTGCAGGTCTTTATGTGTTCTATAAAAAACAGTTGTTAATAAATGTCTAGCAAAAGTTGCAACGTTCTTATTTTTGTCGTAAAGGCCTGACACAAGTGTTTTTTTTATCAGCACTTTGTAGATTTGTAGTTGGCACCACATCAGTACTGTAGGGCTTGTAGGGAACCATGGGAAGTATGATCGTCATGTTTATCACTAAGTAACTTTCACACGGTAAGGGGGAACTTCTCAATGAGTTTCTTTCCTGGTTAAATAAAGATTAAAGAAGAAAAAAAAGTACAGTAAGGTGTGGCTTAAGGTGTCTGGTGAGAGGAAGGCAAACTTGTTCACAGTAGAAAATGGGCACAAAAAAAACACAGCAGGAACAACAGTGACGGACACCTGAAAGGATTACACAATGAAGGATTACGATGAATCCTCAGCGTTTCTGGGTCAGTGGGGATGTTTCCAGCAGGTTGTCTTCTTCGTGCTCGCTGCCAGCACCATACCCAATGGAAGTGGAGTTTTCTCTATTGTCTTCCTTGCTGACATCCCCCGTCACCACTGCCTGGTCCCAGACGCCAATCTCACTGAAGATTGGCTCAATGCTGTTATACCAATAGAGGTAAAAAAAAAAAAAAAAATAGCATGGCAGTTTTTTCATTTATTGTTATAATATCCTATGAATATTACTTGCTAAGTGAAGAGAAGCTAAAACTGTAGTTGCTCTGAAGGTTTTGTATATTTTCCTGGGATTAATGTTAATTTTTAATATGTTTAGCAGTTTTAGCATTTTTTGTTATTTGTCTATGTTCTGTATCTGCCTTAGGTGTTAAGCCAACTACTGTAGCCCAGTATGGCTCCATTGCAAGTGTTATGTAGCTTTATACAGGTATACATTTTTTGTTAACTTACCTTACTAATAAAGTTTTTGTCCATGTGACTGTGAGGTGACAGATGGGGAAGAGGAGCGAAGTAGCTGCAGCAGATACAGGCTGGATGTTGTCAAAAATCTCTCTTCTCAAGGATTAATTCCTGGCCGGGATATTAACCTGACCCAGCTGGAGCAGGAGAGCTGTGTGGACGGGTGGAGCTACAGCAAAGACATCTACCAGTCCACCATTGTCTCTGAGGTGCATGTCTAGGACTACTTTTGTCTAGTTTAAGAAGCAATAGTTTTTGATTTTGAATACCACAACCTGGTTTGGGTCCTTGTCTATCAGTCATCGCAATCCATTAAACAGGGTCATAACAATGAGCAGTTCAATAATCAGACAGCAGCAGGAACCACTGATCAACATTCACAGCAGGAGGACAAAAATAAAGGGACAACACAAACGCCTCAGGTGGCACACACATTACAATCCACAACCCTTTACCCTCAGGCTACAGATTTCTCACCTACAGGACTAAGAGAGGCTTGTTTTGTGCCCACATGCATCAGACTCATCTATTTATTTATTTTTAAGCTTTCATAACATTGTCCTTGACCTATTTATCATGCTTTCAATACACCTCATAAATTAATTCCAGTGTTTATTCTTTTTTTTAACCCTAGAAATCTTTAGAATGATTTATTGCTAATCTGTCATGCTTCATTTAATAATAATAATTGTAATAATACATTTTATTTATAAGCGTTTTTCAACACTCAAAGGCACTGTACATTGGTTAAAAAAAGACAAAAATGTTGGTGTGTGTGTGTTTTTGTGCTGACCTGTCTACTCACTGATGCTTTGTTACAGAGCTGAAGTTCCTAACGGATAGATACAATTATTTGAATTGAACAATTGTTAAATTATTTATGCTTGGATTTGAAGTTTGACCTGGTGTGCAGTGAGCAGTGGAAGCAGCCGTTCACCTCCACCGTCGTCTTCCTGGGAGTTCTTATTGGATCGTTCATTCAGGACAGCTCTCAGACAGGTAAAGCTTTAAGGATGCACATATCATCTTCTAAACCCCTCAAATGAAAAGTGTGGTCCTTTATTTTACGTATTTTGTATTTGCACTTTTTATTGATTTTTTTTTTTTTTTTACAGTTTTTTTTTTTGCTCTTTTAACATTGTTTGCCTTTTATTTTAGGTTTGGTAGAAAGACTGTTCTCTTTGCAACCATGGCGGTGCAAACCGTTTTTACCTTTGTTCAAATCTTCTCGTCTTCATGGTTGATGCTTTGTGTCCTGCTCTTTATCGCTGGAATGGGACAGATCTCAAACTATGTGTCTGGTTTTGTGCTGGGTAAATGTGAACTTCTTGTACTCAATCTTTATTTCAATCAATCAATCCATCTTTATTTGTATAGCGCCAATTCATGACAAATGGTATCCTGAGACCCTTGAAAATGGGAAAGGGGGGAAATTCCAATTCAAGCTACTTTTAAACAGTATTAAGTGATTCTGAACTGTATACATGTCAGTCTTGAATGTGTCTTGTTGTATGTACAACTAATTACCAACACTTCTGTGTTTTTTTTTACGCAGGCATTGAGATTTTGACTGGCAGTGTGCGGGTGCTATTCTCATCTATGGGGGTATGTTTGGGCTATGCTGTTGGCTACATGATGCTGCCTCTCTTTGCTTACTATTTAAGGAACTGGAAATCTCTCTTGTTGGCTTTGTCTTTGCCTGGCCTGGCCTACATCCCTCTCTGGTGGTAGGTTGTATTCTTACCATGAATAATGAACATGCATACGTGGTAAGGTAACCTACCTTGCGATTTTGTTCTTGTGAGGAAGCCGACCTGATTCAACTTCTTCTTTATCATGGTATGGTAGGCTCATCCCAGAGTCTCCCAGATGGCTACTCAGTCAGGGAAGAGTGGAGGAGGCGGAGGCCATAGTCAGAAAAGCTGCTAGGTGGAACAAAGTGGAGGCTCCACAGGTCATTTTTGAAAAATGCAGCTCTCATGTAAGTCTGCTTTGTTTAAATTACTTCAACTTGTGTGCTTGAAAATACAAACATTGTTTTTACAATTTAACGTGAATGTCTGCACCAAATATACTGGGGAGGGGAGAGAGGGGAGGGCAAAATAAGGTGAGAAAAGGGTGAGACAAGAGGTTTTATGTCTTGCAGGTTGATGAGGTTAAGACACAACAAAAGGAACATCACAATGTATCCAGTCTGCTGAGGACAAACAACATCAGAAACACAACTTTGATCCTGGGCCTTGTGTGGTAAGTATCAAGGCAAGGCATGTCTTACTTCAAATCAATACATTGAAAAAATAATCAAGAGCTGCCTATTATGCTATGGGTTTACCTTAAGTTTTATTATACCTTTCAAACATTTCCTTTGCCTGCATCTCCCCAGGTTTACCCTGAGTACTGGATACTTTGGCCTGTCCCTGAACACATCTCGGCTTCATGCTGACCCCTATCTCAGCTGCTTCATTTCAGCTGCTGTAGAGGTACCAGCCTACATCGCCTGCTGGCTTGCGCTGCAATACATTCCACGAAGAGTGTCTACAATCTGTGTCCTGCTCCTCGGAGGAGTCTCACTGTACTTGATTCAACTGATACCACAAAGTAAGCAGTATTGTGTTACATGAAGGTGCTGATATTTCCAAGCAAATATCATCAGGTGTTAAAAAAAGGAACTGAGATTTAGCAGTGCACACCTCAAACAATCTCATGTTTTTAAAAAGTGACTAAAAAGTGATGATGGAGATATTGAATACCTACTAACTTAATGAGGAGGATGATGATGGTCTCGATATTATTGATGATGATGATGATGGTAATGACGATGGTTTTACTTTAATAACGACGACTTATAAGATGGTTTCTATACTGATTAGAGCTCTCGAACTACCGTCAATGTTGTGCTTTGCCTCTGTGCAATGCCTGTCAGCACCTGTGTGTCCAATCGGACTCAAAGTTGATCGCTTGCACTTACTGACATAGTTCCCTTTTTTCTAGATCCTTGCTTGTGTTGTACTTACTCTCTGATGTACGTCGCTTTGGATAAAAGCGTCTGCTAAGTGAATTGTAGAATTGTAGAATATTTAATCTATTATAGGGCATTTATTTAAGAACTTTAAAAGAGGAAGAAGGTAAGGTACTCCTGAAATCCCACAACAAACCGTGTCTTACTTTTCAGGTTTACAAAGTCTCTCTGTTGCACTGGAGATGCTGGGGAAATTTGGTATTACCAGTGGTTCATCCCTGATGTATAGTTACACAGCAGAGCTTTACCCGACAGGGCTCAGGAACACTGCGACTGGAACATGTACCACTCTTGCCAGAGTGGGCAGCTGCATTGCACCTTTTTTATTACAGCTGAGTAAGTAAACTCAATAGTAATGACAACAACTTACCTACCCTTAAGATTCAAGTGCAACACTAATATTTTTATCCATGTCTGTAGGATTCCTTCTCATCCTTATTTCTTCCTCTCCTTGTTCAGGCTTGGACTTTAAGAACCTTCCATACATCATTTTGGGGACTCTGTGTGTTGTGTCGGCCTTTGCTACTCTCTTCCTGCCAGAGAGCTTTAGACGACCTCTTCCTGAAACTATTCAACAGATGCATAAGAGAGGAAGGTAGGTTGTTTGAAGAATACATTCATAAACTTCTCCTTTATCAAATCAGATCGTCAGACAGTGATCATTTATATTCTTCTCTCTTTAATGATTTTATGAAATGTTTTATGAAGTCTAGAATTATTCAATTATAACCCTCCAGACACCAAGTTCAGATTATTCCTGAGAGCTTAATTGATTTCTGAATGTCATTAGGACTGTCAATTTAACATTTCATCGTGTCTGCTGATGTTCACAATTCCACAGTGTAGTAATGAAGTATCCTCACATTTCTTAACACTTTGCTTAGTTCTGCTTTTTAGTTAAATTCTTCATACTGCAGGTGTGGATTTATAAAAAAACGAAAATGTAATGTAAAGTGATACATGTAAGAAGACTTTTGTGATTAAATGAACTATCTTAACATGATTATATATTTTCCAAAATTGAAGTGATTAATTTTAAAAGACTGTGATTTAATTTTTTTAATTAAAAAACTATGCCCAAAAAGCATGTCCCAGTTTTTCATGTCACTACTAAAACCTCAAGAATTTTAGTGCCTTGCCTCAGCCTGGATTTAAGCCACACCCCCTGCATTTTTGACCTGGAAGTGAAACTGCATCCCTGTCCCCTCATGGCTACAGCTGTATCCCATCATTTTGACATAAGTTAAAAAGTCTGAAAATCAGTGTGTGACTTTAGAAATGGTCACGTCCGGACACATTTTCTTCAATTCAGTACACTTTATTTTGGTTTTATGTCAAAAATTATGTTTTTATGGGTGTATAACTCTTCAAATATGTGCTGCTAGCCATGTGCTTGATAGCATACTTTAATTGTACTCAAAATTAGAATCCTCACTACCAAAACAGTCAATTTAAGATGTACATGCACAAATACTAAAATAGATTTAACGAGCTGTAAAAATATTCTCAAAAAAAAATCTAACTTTGTGTAGTCGTCCTTTTAAAGTCAAAAGTTTATTTGGATTTTTAACTTGAGTCTTTACCGTTTATGTATAAATGTATCTTCGTAAGGACAGGAAGTAATGTCATAACAAACTAGTCAGTTTTTGTACAGATACCAGAACAGATTTTTTGAACAACAGAAAACATGATGTCACAGATTCATTTTTGTTTTTTAATAAAAGCAAAACACCCTCCCACTCATCATAATGAAATTTCAGTTTTGCTCTTTTTAAAACTCAAACGAATAATGTTTCTCTGTTTGTTTGTCTTTTGTCCAAACAGCTTGAAGTGGCCAATCATCTCTCGGAAACAACATTCAAAACCTGGGCTGCCTTTTGAAACAAAACTTTGACCGTCTAAAATATTTCATGCCATCATTGACGAGTTTTTAGTCATTAAAAAAGGTAATATGATTTTTTTTTTTAAATGTACAAAAATTGTCCTCTTTGAGAAATGAATTTTACAAGAAATAAAGGTTGACATATTTCTTCAACATTTGACCAACATTTGGAGTTAATTACATTGTGCTTGAATTCTCTGCATGGAGTTTATGACAAATGTATTCCAAATATTTACCATACACTTTGCAATATTGTGGTGCAGTAAATGTGGAACAATACAGTTGTGTCGTTAGTAAAAGAAAAATTATTATTAATAAGGGTAACAGCAGTAAATCGCATTGTCAAAAACATTGTCACACTTTTCCTTTCACTGTACCACCAAAAGGAGAACATCACTCCAGTTCAAAGGATATGTTTGAAAGCATAGTCACATTATTTGAAGAAATGTTCAGCTCCTCTGTGCACGTTAAAGTGAATCATGGGATTTCTGTCCAGATATTTGCCTTACACAGAACATCAGATCTTCACTGGACAACCAGAGACTTCCTTTCAGCTGGGTTTTCATTTTCCTCCACCTGAGTTAGTGTGTTAGGTTTCTTCTGGCAACATCTAGTGTAAAAAAATAAAAATCATTTATACAGTTACAGTATTTCACTTGTCACAGAAAAACATGTTAAGGCCTGGTTTGAATATTGCTGTAGGAGAACTAAGCATGCTAAGGCTCCACCTGCTGGACCCAAAAGGAAAGGGAGATTTTTTTAAGGGTTATGGACTCCATATCTCCTTCAAAATGTGGTCAAGTACAGTGTAAATTCAATGCTCATCATCCACTCCACAACTTCAACAAATTTAAAGCTTACAGACTCTTGAGAGTGGCAGCAGTTTTAGGAAATGTCATTACAAGTGAAATTGATCAAATTCACCTCCAGTTTACTTACATTGTATGGATGCTAACATTTAATCTTTCATATTTAATTTATAATCATCTACGACTCTGTTTTTGCACATGTACATCCAATCTTCCATATTTAATCTTCCTATTTAAGACTAGTAATGCTTAGTTAAATCCTGGTTGTATATATTCACATTCTTATTTTTGATATCTTTTAGTACTTGTTCACTCTGTAGTTAATATTATATTGTGTTTAGATTGCTAATATTGTGTTTTTTACTCATATTGTGTGTTGGATAACCTGCTGCTGTAACGCCACAATTTCCCAGTTTGGGATCAATAAAGTAATTCTATTCTATTCTATGCATTTTTGCCTTATCTTTGCCACAGTCACAACCTTAGCCAATGCCAGGTAGTGTGTGTGGTTGATCCCACTTTCTTTTCTCCATGTGTTTAAATGGACAGATTCACAGTTATGAATGGAGGAGGGTGGGGTTATTGTGACTTGTTGTAACTATGTACAATCATTTGAATAGGGAATGGTGCAGCTTTAATTTTGACTCAGCACCCTGAAGATCTGTTCTCAAACTGTAAGTTCCCCTCTAGAGAAGCGCTGCTCAGGTTTCTGGCAGAAAGCCCTGCATGAAAACACACATTGTAAGCTGTCTGTAATCTATGTTCTGAGACTAGACCACCTGTGCCAAAATTGCAAAATAAAATAAAATAAAGCCAATAATTTTGCTTTAAATTTGAATCTGCAGCCAGGTAGCATAGCTTAGCATATATACATGAACATGTTGAAGAGGATCTGGCCAAAGGCTTCAAAATCTGACCACAAAAAACTCTTAAGATAACTTATTAGTAGAGACATCTCAGTCATAAGATTTCTTAACTATTTATATCTTATAGGATTTGGAGAGGATAAGTATTTGATTCATCTGTCTCCAGCCATAATTATGCCTCTGTTATTGTATGTTCTTCTCTATACACATCTACACACTTGCACATACACACAACCTAGAGGTAAATGATACATGATCCTCTAACATAACTACCTGTGCCATCATGCCAAATCATAATAATAATAATACAATGTCCACTGTCTGTTACCCATGCAGTAGAAAATATATTAACCAACATTAGACCCTGACTATTTTCATCAGTGAGTATACAGACACAATGGAAGTACAGAAGTAAAAAGAATCCAACCCCAGAAACAAAAGACACATCTATTATGAAGTTAGAGGAGACTACTTACAATCTCTTACTCTTTATTTTGCTCTGTAAATTGTGTACTGTAAATAGAGCCTATGACTTTTTCTAAACGTGGAAAAGGTAATCATGAAACTAATAGAAATTGAGCCTGAATCAACATTAAAATGTAACAAAGTTTAAACGGACCAGTTCAAAGCTACAATAAAACTTCCTGACAGGGAGGTGTGGTCTTACCCGGGGAAGCGTTGCATGTGAGTGATGGTGTCAGGCAGAGGCATTCCACGGGTCTCAGGCAGCAGGAGACTCAGCAACCCAACTAGAGCTGTCAGACTTCCCATGAGGATGTAAGGCAGTGAAACCGAATAGCTTCCTGTGGTGACACATCAAAGGAGAGAAGGAAGTGAAAAGCCAGCGAGGCTAAAAGGGTGTCGTAGAGCATTTTAAAAACTAAAAGACAAAAGAGATGACAGAATAGTGCGATGTGGCTGCAGTAGAAATTTAAATCACTTCCACTAAATCTTTAAAGAAACTCTACGCTTTCAGCTGGTCTATCCTCATCTGGGTGCTAATCAGGCTCACTAGGACTATTTATCTAAGATTCCAGATAAATACCCCCCTTCTCATTCTAAAGGTCATACTATCAAGGTTCAGTGATAACTTAAAGGCAGAATATGCGATTTTTTGATCCAGTAGATGAGCACAATCTACCAGCATGAAACCAAAACAACTCGCGCTGCATTGTTGTGTTAGCCTGCTAATGCTAGCGATCTTTATTATGCTCGCATCTTCACACTGCATGTAAATTTACCCAAAATGACCGTGATCTAGAAACACTTACGTGACATTCAATTAAGCAGTGAGTGCAGTATGTTATTCTTCTGTTCTCTAGTCCCTCAATTAAACAACTTTTATACGCCGGGGGATGAGCCGGCCGGCCGTCCTGACGATGTAAACAAAGTGAAAATAGGACTCGGAAAGCTCGGAAAACATCACAGACAGTCATGACTCACAGAGTAATTTTCAGAGGATATATTTGATTTCTATTACATTTAAGTGTGAAAGATTGCATATAAAGCCTTTAAATAAAAGTGAACAGCATCTTTTATCCATTTTCCATTACACCTGAGAGACTATGGAATTGCAGAAACTTAACAGGGATCAAACTCCAGTCAATTCAATCTTAGTTATATTTCTTACTTGCATATTGGCAACGGTTCTATTATCTCTGAAATAATTATTTACTCTTGATTTTTTTTTTCTTTTCAGAATAAGGCATTATAATTCACACTTTTTAAGTGAGTATTTTAATCCCAGGACATGCATTTTGTTGTATATCTGTATAACTTGAGGACTTAGATTTGCACTTATGAAAAAGCTCTAAATATTACAGAACTATAAAATGCCAAAACCTCCATCAAGAAAAGTTATATTATACAAGAGGCCAGGAAAAGCTAAAGAGAAAAGCAGAGAAAATCAAATGTAGGTAAAATTAAAGGTAAAATTACATTCAACTGAGCTGATAATGCAGCAACCAAGATCAGGAACAACATATGTGTTGCTTTTTTTTTTGTGCTTGTGCAAACTAAATTAAATAAAAGGGCTGGATACTGTTTACCTAAATACTCGAAGGTTCACACTTATCCCTAAGTTATCAACGGACAGCTCATTAAGATGACTAACTTCAGGCAGAGGTAAGAGTATCCTTACTTAAATAAATGAAGTATGGAGCAATGATGCTGCCTACTCTGGAGACCATGGAGCAGGTTCCCAAAGCTGTGTTCCTCAAAACAGTCGGGTAGAGCTCTGCTGTGTATGCGTACACAATAGCGAACGCTGTTGTCACTGCAAACTTCCCCATCATCTCCAGTGTAATGGCTAGAAAAATCTGATCTAAAGGGAGTGAAGCATAACATGTTAGCGGCTAAATGTCAGCTATTGTCAGCAAATAAATCCTGCTCGATGTATTGAAATGAGAAAACCACATTACATAAAATAAACAGGAGTATCACAGGGGCTTATCATGTTAAATTGTCTACTTGAGTGTCATACTTGCTGGTACGAGCTGTATGAGGAGTAGAAACAATCCTCCCATGAAAAGCGTTGAGGAAAGACTCAGTCGCCTTGAAAACCAGCGAAACATAACCCAGGACAAAGTGTAGGCAGGTATCTCTACCAGGGCAGACAAGAAACAGTTGAAGAATGCGTTGCCGTGAAGGTTTGATGTGTTCAGGGAAAGAGCGAAGTAGCCAATGGCCACTGTGTTCCTGTAGGAATAATGGATAGAAGTAATTACTAATTACAGTATTTTACCAAATGTAATCACACTATTAGCAGGATCTTCTTATGTATTCACTGATTATTAATGTGTGTTTATAAATTGAAGTGAATTTAACATAAAAAAAAATAAAAAATAGGGAAATACTTTCAAGCACACTGTATATAAAAGACCTGAATGTGATGTCAACTGTTTGTTTGTGGACAACCACTTCACAGCCTGGAGTTTGGGATGTTGTCCTTAGCCGTTTTGATGAAGTATGCAGGTTGGAGGCACATCTGCATGGCTACATTGTGAACCCACAGTCCTTAATCCAGGAGGCAATTTTCCTAATCCCTGCATAGCATTATAGCATCTTTCTGTTTGTTGTTTTCAATGTTTGGCCTGCACGGTCATACTCCATTCTCATTGCATTATGAGAATCAGGCAGCCTTTGCTTCCTGCAGAACACTTACTGTATATGGAGCACCTTGCTGCAGCCTCTGCATATACTGTAGGGTAGAGATCAACTGTTCGCTTTTAACTATCAAATCTGGGCGGATGATAGACTTGAACTGTGATAAAAGCTAAACTGTGAGCGTTAGTGTTACATCAGTGGTTGGTGTACGGGAAACAGTGCAACACTTCCAGGTGGATGAATACAAGACTATAAAGATAAGTTGAACCGCATGTGAAGAGAGTATAGCAGTTCAATGTTTGGAGGTTTGTGTTTTGCATGTTTCCCTTCCAACAATAAAATAACTCACAGCAATAGATTTTCCTTGTTTCTGAAAGAGAAAAGGTGGAGTTATGTTAATGGTTCTTTAGCTGACTTGACGTTCAGCTTTTTCCACAGCTACAGGACAGCAAGGAAATGAACCTGGCATACTGTGCAGTTACATAAAACTGATTTTGATCTTTGGTGCATGCCTCACAGCACCTGACAGTTAGTTAATTATTTGTTGTTGGTGAAACAGGCTGACACATGGTCGAGGAGATGGATACAAGTTGAAACAGTGTATGCCCGGTACATGTCTGCATGTGTGTGCTTAGGTGTGCTTTCTTGTGTGTGCAGGGTCACTGTACTGAATGTGGAGGTCAGGCGGGACAGCAGGGACTCACCAGACTAGCCACAGCGTGATAGAGAGCCAGCGGATGTTTGGAGAGCGGAGCAGGTCACAGATGTTGTAGGCCTTCCTCTGATCAGATTGAAGTTCTATCTGTGGGGCAGTGGGAGCACGTGGAACAACAAACACTTAACAAGCAGAGCCATCAGTCTGGAAATAATTTAATTAGAGAGGAAATTGTTAATGCACGGTCACTTGCTGTGTGAACACATGCATTTACACGTGTTCACACATATAGGGCTAAAACCCCAGGATAAGGATTAATAGAGGCAAAGGTTCAATGAAAGAGCTTTTAGTAATTAGGAATACTGATAGAAAGAGAAATCTGCCATAGTAAAGGTATTGCACATTTAGTTTATATGAGGGCAATAACATGAATTGCAGAACAAAAATGCACAACTAGCTTTAATCTACTTGTGAAACTATCATAATTAATAATAATAATAATTTTGCAAGATAATGCTGAGTGCTCTGGTTAATTCTCCCACTGAACAAATTCCTCCCTTTTTGGTGCTTCCACACATGCACAAAACTCCTGAAAACTGAGTGGAACTTTCAACTCTGACCTTACCCACAATTCTTCCTGCCAGCCCCCTAGTGTTCTGTGTGAGGTCGGGAAGTGATGTGAAAATGCCAATAGGAGCCGTTCTTGAGAGGAGGTCTCTCCCCCTGTTCTTACGGCCAACTGTGCAGATGACTGACATTTCTCGTAGCCAATTAAATTCTCAAAACTAGATATGCTGCTTCTATAAATCCTTCTGGGTGATTTCTTCATGTTCACACTTAATCCACTTTAATCCTGTATTTTATCTTTCTGCTTTCTTGCTCCATGCCCTATTGCTTACAGTGAGAAGGCAGACTAAGAGTTCAAAACAAACACCTAGCTGTGGGAGCATATCCCACCCGGGGGAGGGCTTACTGCGCTTTGTGATGTCATGAAGGGCAAATCTCCCTTAGATCTTAAATCTTAGAAGTTAATCTTTTTTCCAGGATTTTCTACTTCGTTAATTTTCAATACATATTATATCTCCAAACAATTATAAAAGAGAAAGATCTGTCCAATATATTCCTATAAACTGCAACTCAGTGAAGTGCTCACTCAAGTGCAGAATAGTAAATAATTACATCACAGATGTGAACACTAAAAGGTGTTTGCATTCCCACTACTTATCTGGTAAGTAAAGGTGTCATGGGAACACTAAAAGATAACCTATTTCTGTCGGGAAAGAGGTTCTGACCAGGTAATGGCTTAGATATAAGGGTTACAGGGTCAGAGAAGGGTCATATTTTTCATACAGCTCATTCATTGTTATTGAATGTTCCAGAGACTTTAATTTAATTATTAGTTCACATTTCATATTCTCTGCCTTAGTTTTTCCACTTTGTTAAACTGCATTAGTAATAATACATACTTTGTATTTAAAGCCTTTTTTGTAAATATTGTATGAGTTAAAGTGTAAGTTTTCCCGTGGCAGTCAAAGACTTCCTATGTAGTTACTTAAGTTCTTTCTTTAACATATGACTTGTATCATAGTAAAGAAAAGCTGCAGGAACTTGTCCGCCTGATACCTCCAAGAAGGGTCAGGGGATCTCCTCCCGGTTGGATATGCCCAGAAAACCTCTAAAGGGAGGCACAGCTACTCTCAATGGGAAGGAGTAGCTCATCTGATTTTAGCTCCCTCTGGATGTTTGAGCTCCACATTCTATCTTTAAGGCTGAGCCAAGCCACCCTTCTAAGGAAACTTGTTTTTGGCCGCTAGTATCTGCAATCTCATTCAGTAGGTCACCACCCAAAGCTTATAATAACAGCTGAAGGTTGGACCATAGATATACTTGTAAAATGTAAAGCTTTGCCTTCAGGTTTGGCTACCTCTTCGCCATGACAGTCCGGTAAAGTGCACTCATAACTCATTGCCTTGAGATACTGTCCATGAAAATCACAAACAGAATTGGTAGAAATGGAGAACCCCAGGCATAGGCCTACATGCACAAGAGCATGTCAGACCTTGTGCCGAGTATGCAGCCATAGCTCTCACTTTGGTCATATGGGGACTGGATGGCTCATAGCAATTGCCCTGGTACCTCATGGTTCACATGGACATGCCAACCTCTGCACCACGTTTATATGGTGAACCTGGAGGTAAACTTGATACAATACAATACGGTACACTCCACCTTATTGTCCCCTTGAGGAAATTTGTCTTAGACGTAAGTGCTGCAGACATTTAGCTGCCTCCACAGTAACATCAATAAATAAGAACTCATTTCAAACAACAATTCACATATAATCAAAGAAGTACATACCAATGATTTACCTTCAAGAAAATATGTTAGAATATTAAGTCCTCTCACCTGCAGAGGACTAAAGATGACTGATGGCGCCTCAATTTTGTTCCTTTTAGCAGCATTTCTTATGATGGCTTCAGCCTCTTCAACTCTACCCTGAGAGAGCAGCCAACGAGGAGACTCTGGGATGTACCTGCCTCGTTAGACAAGAGAGAGGACAGAGGGTGAAAGAGAGGTTAACATTTTGGACTTAAGAGTTATTAAAACTGGAAACTTCTAACTAACTAATAAAAGCCCATTGGAAAGACGATTTGTTTTTGGGGCTTTTTTACTGTTATTTAGATAGGACAGTGGATAGAGGATATCCGGAGAAAGTGGGAATGACATGCGGAAAGGAGCCGCAGATCAGACTTGATTGTTAAATTTGTAAATTTAACATGTGCAGAACAGATAACAGTATGGAGAGACATATATTATCATGATGACAGTTCTCTGCTCGCAAGAGGTGAGCTGTTGTACAGAGTTATGGCCTTCGGTAAGAAAGATTTCTTGTATCTGTCCTTGTGACAGTGGAGTTGGATCAGTCTGTTGGAGAAGCTGCTCCGCTGTTTGTCCAGTAGGGTGTGCAGAGGGTGCTCAGGATTATCCATAATGGATAACAGTTTGTTAAGAGTCCTCCTCTCTGTCACCACTACAAAAGCCTATCACAGAGCAGGCCTTCTTGATGAGTTTGTCCAGTCTCTTAGTGTCACCAGCTCCAATGCTGCTCCCCCAGCAGACCACAGCAGAGAACAGTGCACTGGCCACAACAGACTGATAGAAGATCTCCAACATCTTGCTGCACACGTTGAAGGATCTCAGCTTCCTCAGAAAGTAGAGTCGGCTCATCCCCTTCTTGTACACAGCCTGAGTGTTGGCCTTCCAGTTCAGTTTGTTGTCTATGTTGACACCCAGGTACTTGTTCTCCTCCACCACAGACACATCCTCTCCCAGGATGCACAGCGGTGGTGGCTCTGTCCTCTTCCTTCTGAAATCAATCACCATCTCCCTGGTGTTATCCAAGTTCAGAATCAGGTGATTTCTTCCTGTCCACTCCACAAAGTTATCCACCAGCTCTCTGTACTCCCCCTCTTGCCCATCACTTATACACCCCACCACCGCAGAGTCATCAGAAAACTTCTGCAAGTGGCATGACCTGGCGTTGTACTTAAAGTCAGAGGTGTACAAGGTGAAAAGGAAAGGAGACAGCACAGTCCCCTGTGGAGCTCCTGTACTACTCTCCACCATTCCAGACTGAACACTGCCAAGTCGGACAAACTGTGGTCTGTCTGTCAGGTAGTCAGTAATCCAGGAGGTGATAGACGAGTCCACACCCATCAACTGCAGCTTCTCTTCCAGCAGTCGTGGCTGGATGGTGTTGAATGCACTGGAGAAATCAAAAAAGGTGATTCTCACAGTGCAGCCGTTTCCCTCCAGATGTGAGTGAGCACACTGCAGCAGGCAGATGATGGCATCGTCCACTCCCAGGTGTGGCTGGTAGGCAAATTGTAGAGGGTCAAGGGATGGTTTCACAATCCCTTGACAAGGGTCAAGACGAGCCTCTCCAGCACTTTCATCACATGAGAAGTGAGAGCCACTGGTCGATAGGCCTTGAGATGAGATGGTGTCGTCTTCTTTGGGACCACAGCACCGGTATCCTCTCCTGGCTCAGACTCAGGTTGAAGAGGTGTTGCAGAATCTCAGACAGCTGGCTAGCGCAGGTCTTCAGACCACTAGAATATCAGCGCCCCTAAAACCCTTTTTAAGCAGGCACTAGGAAATTGGCTGCAAAAGTAGATCAAATATATAAGATAAGCTAATAAAAAATTAAAAAAAAGAAGCCACAGACAAACACACGCACCTACCACCATAGAGGAACACAGAAAAAGCCAGGCAGGGCAAGCCCAAGACTAAGCATCCTCCAGTCTCTGATGAAGAAGGCAAACAGTGGCAGCAGCATGTAGCCCACAGCAAAGAAAAGGCTCACGCCTGCTGTAGAGAAGACTGTCCGAACATGTTGGCCTAAAATCTCTGCTCCTAAGCACATGGATAAAAAGGGGGGCATCACTTTGAGGGAGAGAAGCTTGAATGCTGTTATAACATAAGATTACATTTATCAAGGTTTAAATTGGCATCCATTTCTGGAATCTGACAAAGTTATGTCACGGCTTCAGCCACTGATAAGACAAATTAAATTAAATTAAAACAATTTACTTTCTATTTTCATTCATTCTTAATTTCCTATTAGCTACTGCTTGTCGATGGCTAACATTTCCATACAACCACTTCCAAGTTAGCATTACTGTACGATTGTTCAATTACAAGGGTGGCCCAATATCCCTCCTGATTTTTTTTTTTTTTACTAAACTTTTATTTTCAGATGCTAATCTATATAGTGAATAAGTTGCTCTTTGCCAATTGTACAAACTCAGACAATCTTAAAGAAACACGATACACAGCTTTGTGACAATATAACTGTGTTTAGCAGCATTATTCTGTGTGATGTTAGAGAAAAATCACTATCATATGAATATGTTGGATTATCAAGAACAAATAAGGAAACAAAAACATTGAGCAGACACCAAAGTACCTAGTACAAACGCAGTAACATAATTGGAGATTGCGCCCAATCCAACAATGAAATAGATGGCGCAGAACATGACCCAGGATTGTGAGAAGACCAGAAGGAATGTGGCCACTGTCTGGACAGCAATGGTAACGAATAATATGTTTTTTCTCCCATACCTGAAAAAGGAAACAAAGTACAGGTAACTGACCAAATAAGCATGTTGTGTAAATGTGATGGTAAACTTTTCAATCTCAAGACTTTTTGTTTAATCTGAGCGATCAGTTCTACCCGGATGCAAATCCTTATCACTTCAATAAATGAAAGATGTATCTATTGACAGTGCAAGAGACTTAATGCAATGTAGGGGACATGCAGACTGTTTAAGGCACTTGAATTAAACACACACACTTAACTACTTCTATCAATTCTGTTTTAACACTCAAATAAAATTGAGGACATGTAGGCTACATTTTGTAGAAATAACAATAAATGTCGTCGTCTGCTCATAACCTGTCAGAGAGCTGTCCCGAAATAAGTGACCCAGAGAGAACTCCACAGAAGAAGATAGAAGAAGTCAGAGGGTTCTTCCACCTGTCATCACACACCAGGTCCCACTGAAAACACACACACACACACACACACACACACACACACACACACACACACACACACACACACACACACACACACACACACACACACACACACACACACACACACAAAACCGATACAATTGACTTCAGGACTATTCAAACGTTTTCCAAACCGACGCTATTTAGATGTTTATTTAACACGTACTTATCCTTGATAGACTAAATGTGGCCTCATAATTAGGGCACCATAACCTCCTGTTAAAAAGGTAGTGACAGAGCAGGTACACGAACCTCAGATATAATAGTAGAATTATACACGCTCCTGTCGTACTCCCACCCGTCCAAGCAGCCTTCTGTCGACACATGAGACAGGTTAACATCAACTCCCGGGAGCAAGCCTCTGTCCGAGAAATCCAGCACATCTTGGAGTTTGTATCTCGCGCACTTGCTGGGCACGAGCGTGCCGCTGGGGCTGTCAGCCTCGAGCGGGATGCTGCTGTTCCTCCACGCGGCAGTGAGGTTCACGTGTGCGGGGATGAGGCAGCGATGAGGCAGCGTGTCCGCGAGGAAGACGATGGACAGGGAGGTGAAGCCGTTTGGGATGATGCTCATACACAGGAGGAAAAACACCTCCTGCTGGAAACGTCCCCATTCCCCGATGAAGGCGGTGGCAGCTTCATAGTCGGTCATGTTGCCTGTGATAGAAAGACTCACCTGGCGCAGAGTTAAAAGTAGTTATCGATGAGGGACTAAAAACAAAGCAGCAGCTTTGAGTAGGAAACAAAAAAAAAAACGCCCACCCACCGACCACCCGCTGTCCACTGTTTAATCAGTGTGTAGAAACCCAACTAGAGAGTATAAGGCTATCAAAAGACATAATTATAAGGTCTCAAAAGGCTTTAATGGCATGCAGCCTAGCCCAATAAAATTCACACAATAAGTAAATGCCACAAAATATTAAGTTAGAAGGAAAATACATTCTATAACCACTGTAAAAACAGGCCTAAAAGTAAGAAAAACACACCTTCATGTATACTTGTATTTATTGTGTAATTTGAAAAATTGCTGTAGCTATCTCACTGAATCATTGCAAATTACAATTGCAAAGAGAAAGCATCAAACGACAGAGTAATGTGTCAAAAAACTCGATGAGAGAGTTACACCGACTGATCTCTCTTCTCTTCACTAACAATAGCTTGTGTTGTTCAGCTTTCTCTACTTGACTGTGGCTCTCTTTACAAGACTTGTGCACTCTGAACCCTTTTATTGACAAGTTTATCTTTTGTTCAAGGTCAGAAAAGGAACACTTTTTTCCTTGGTTACAGCGCCTAGACCGCACTGACGCTAGGCATTCTGTACCGTGCCTAAGCACCCTTCACCCCCAAAGTCCAGTTCGTTTGACTGAGTGCTCCAATCTGTGCTCAAGCTCTTCCTTGGCCCTGGCACGCTAGGAAGAGGTGTGCTTCAGCATGGTACAGGTCATGCACGAGCACAGCCTTCCATTATCAAGAAATCCTGGAGCTTTATGGCTTTATCTGACCAAAATGACTGAAACAAGCAACAACTTCAGTAAAGTAGCAGTCATGTTCTCTGTGTTGTTCTCGGATGTTTGGACTGGACCACGCTTCACTTTTCTATGTAGGAGCAATCGTAACACCCAAATTTCCACCACAGGGATTAATAAAGAATGCATGACTCTGATAAAGGAATGTTTTTTGAGAAATGTGGAAACAGTTTTAGGCGCAGACTCAGAAGGTCACTCTTAACATCTGTCTAGTAAATCTGACATCTGATAATCTGATTAAAGCACAGTTGTTACCTTAGCATGGGGGAGACAGTGACAAACATTTGCCTACAGCTCTGTCAAACAGTGACAGAAATCCAGAGGCCAGCACCTCGGAGGTTGACTAATTAACAAGTCATTTGTTTTTCTACCCTTAAACAAAAATAAATGAGTTAAAAAAAACTATTCACCCTTTAAACAGCAGATTTGCTAACTTGTGTTGGACCATTTCTTTTGGTCTACTAACGATGAGATGCATTTTTTTTTTGTGCACTGTATGTGTATAGACAAGAACTATATAGAGATCTTCATTTAACTATCTGTATATGTTTGTACATATTTTGCCTTATAATGCAGTTACGTTATAATGTAATGTTACGTTATAATGTACACTGGTATTTGTCACAGTTGTGTCAGGTATGTATATGAAGGTACTGTATATTGACATTCAGGTGTATAAATGTATAATGACTATTTATTTTCTATGTGCTTGGGCATGACACACAGGAATTTGCTGTGCATGTGGTGTATGCCTGCTCTTCAGAGGATATTTCTGTTAAATGTATTGTAATGTAATGTTCCTTACTAGAAAATGATGGATTCCAGCCATGATCTATTTTTCCACATCTAACTTAACCCAATAGTTTTACTCACTATTTTCTTTCTCTTCAGTGTTAACCTTTCAGTGAATTATCTGCAAATAATGCTGTCCTTAAATTGCAATTACATTTTTTAACATCGTAAACATTTCAATTCAAGGTCATCACCAAAATGCCCTTTGCAACCATTTTCCCCATGATTTCCATAATTTGGAATTCATACTAGCATCACTTTCAGTATTGTGTGAATTAAATGACAACTTTTTGTAAAGCTAATCTTTCCTTGCATTTCATTTGAATAAGACTCAATAAGGTCTAAATGCTGTTTTATGTATTTTATTTGTAAAGGGACCATGTACAATATTAAACATAAATGTTGATGCATTTGATGCATTGAACCAAAGTTAGCATATAGAGCTAGTTTACATCTGCAGTCCCTCAGCAAGTCACAACTAAAACATCACAAAGTAATAAAACATCACACACAAAATAAACTACTACAAACATAGCAGAGTATCCCAGCAGTACAATGTACAACACACACACCAACAACAACAACAACAATACCTCACTTGCAGCCTGCTATGACCATGTGCTTTACATGTCACATGCAGAAAAGTCACTTTCACTTGTACTCAGTAAGGCTTCGTTAATCATGACCCTTTCAGTGTCAAATTATGGAAAACTGGTGTTGATGGCTGTTTGTTTGAATACTCTGATAGCTAGTTAATCATTAGGCTTAGGGATGGAGGGTTTCTGTCACGGATCGGGAAAACCGAGAGGAGGACCCAGATGCAGAATCAACCAAAAATATTTAATCAAACAAAAACTCACTTCCAAAAATCCAAACAGGAGAAAACAAGGAGCCACAGGTAAACCAACACCAACAACTGCCACCGACAAACACACACAATGAACTGACACAGAAGGGAAGAAACACAGAGACTAAGTAGACACAGGGGTAATCAAACACAGGTGAGACTTATAATACAGGTGAAGACAATGAGGGCAATCACAATGGAAGGAAACACACAGAGGAAGGAATGGACACAAGAAACACTGAGGACAACTACAAAATAATACATTAAACACTGAAGACACACAGAACTCAAAAATGAACAAAACACACTAGAACATACAGAAACACTAAACACTGAAAAACAAAACTAGAAAAGACCAAATCATGACAGTTTCCTCCACTGTTTACACAGGAGATTAAACAGGCTGGGAAACCTTTGCTGTATACACACATGCAGATAAATTATATAATAGTAATAAAATTAAATAAATACATTAGTATCCCATGCAAATCATGTGTAGAGGACCAGTCACGTTAATGCTTTAGGATTGATTAACATGAAACATAAGCCTGCAAAGTGTGTGATTATATTTTTCCAGACATTACTAGAAGAAAGAATAGATCAGTTTGTGAAAAGCACCTTATTTGTCTGGCAGACTGTTTGTACTTAGACAACAAATATTCTTAGTAGGCCTAGACATTAGTGTGAAGGTCAGATACATATCTGCAGAGGTAGCAAAAGTACACACAGTCTTCACTTGAGTAGAAAGAAATACACTTATCTAAAACAAGACGATGATAAAAGAACAGATTGAACAAGAATAAGTCAGTAAGTTCATACTGAAAAGTACATATTGTTATTGTCCTCTCTATCAGCTTTTTCTGCGCAAAGCTAACTGAAAATGTAAGTCCAATTAAGAGAGCATTCAATTTGTAAAAGGCTATGAAACAGACTATAATAAAAGATGATTATACATGATCTACAAAATCAAACAAGAACATCATGGACAGGATCAAATCTGCAAAGATTTGCTGTCCTCCTGTGGACCGGTGTTGAGAACTAGCATGCATGCTAAAACACTTAGAGGGGACAAATTTAGAAAAATGCACTTTTACAGTGTTTTTGAACATACATTTGGGTAACTTGAGTGTCTACGAACCCACAAAATGTGAAATAAACCCATCCTGTCCTTTGTTTGTGGTGTGCCTAAGTCTTACAACACAGAGAAAAGTGCTCTGTTTCAAATTTGCTCAGCTTGTGATGTCACATTGGGATTTTGGTAAAAAAGAAATCCCCTTCCCTCCCCTCCCCTGATATCTCCACCCATTGACTCCATCCCCAGCCTAGAGCAAAACTTTTGCGCAGGTCAGTTTTTTGCTTCAGAGGATTGATGTCTACCGGGAAAACTCAGGGGGACACCAAACACCAAAACTGACGGTTCAGAGAGAGCTGGTTTATACAGGGTCACAAACCTCCTCTGGTGCTTGATTCATGTTATATTTTGACCAAAGCACAGCACAGATGTTTCATTTAGACCACAGGGGACTGCACAGGTAGAAAAGGGGTATAATATGTCCTCTTTAAACAATGCATCTGGTCCGTCCAATTCATCTGTGATATCCATGCCAAATTAAATCTCGCTATCTATATACATTTGTCTACAGGGGGCGCCAAAAATCAACATAAAAAAGAAGTTCCTCTGTAGTTTTAAATATTATAACTTTAAGTATAATTAAATAATATATGCTGAACATAATAAACATCATCTTTGTTTAGTTGGATTGGGAATGTCTTGCAGCTGCGAATCTGCTTAAACGTTGTCTTCAATGATTGGTTATTCCATCCATGTTGCTACAAGTTATCCATGTTGGCCACAAACATTGAATTCACTGGAAACATCTGCTCAGTGGTTGAGATCCCCTCCCCCATTTATTTTGTCTTGATACATTTTACACATCCTTAACACTTAAAAAAAGTGTCCTTTTTTGAAGGTTTTTGCTGATTTAAGCTGAAATAAGTCTTGATGTTGATAAGCGAGCACACAATGAGGCATTGTAAAATTATCGACCAATAATATCCCCAAAAATGCATTTCAGTATACCTAATGAACCCCCTTTGAAATATGAAGAAAGTTGAGTTACAAATATTTTAATCAAAATGAAAAAGGTTGGAAAATGAAAAAGCACAGATATGAGAATACTGTTTTTGTCACAGAAATGAAGTACTTTTTTGCTTCCCAGGTCTAAAATGACATAAGGTCAGACCATTGTGTTGATAAGCACTTGCCTTTGTACAGTGTGTTTTAGAGGTAAACGGCTGCTGGATCATCATAACTTAATTCGAATAAATTATTTAAGCTTATTATCCACTTTGGAGAAACCAGTTTCAGGAACAGTAACTAACTTACTCCTATATTAAATCTACAGTAGCATGTGAGCCTCTTTAGAGCTGGAAAACCGGAAAGTTCATCCAGACCTTCTCTTTGTTTCATGTGAATAGATTATTTCTTCTGTAAAAGTTTGATTGGTTGTGTCTGAAAGCAATTAGTTTGTGTTCTCACTGATGAAGGCCACAGGAAATCATGAGACATGAAGACCATGAATGAATGAATGTCCTGATAAACCTTTGTGTGGGGAAACAAAACATCACAGCCTGGTAAATGGAGCATATTGAAACATTTTTGATTATCTTTCTCAAAGTCAGATCATGTGATTACTGCTCAAATAATAGTGTCAAATCTTTTTTAAGAAACATGCATTTTAATATCAGAAAACACACTTACGCTTGCTTGTTTTTTGTGGTTGGTGGGGGTAGCCGCTTATTGTGTGAACTTTTGTTAACCCCTGCTGACCAGTTGCTACTTAACTCTATACTAATTGTGTCCTGAATGTGTCTGTTAATAAAATCTGACAGGTGATCTCATCCAGCTGTCTTTTAACAGTCAATCATATCACTTACATTGAGTGTTTCAAGTGGAAAATGACTTGTTGATAGGTGTTACAGGAGTAATACATGACTATATGGAAAGAATTGATCTTATTTCCAATGGTCTTGTTAGCTTTTGTAGCTTATGTAAAGGTATCAGATTAATTTCAGTCTGCTTCCTCACAGCAGGTGTAAATAAAGTTTAAAGTAAAATAATTATACAATTCAAAGCGTACATATTAAATTACGTTCTTGTTAGTTTTTAATAATTGCTTTTTTGCTTCTGCAGTGTGGCTTTAAATAGTCCAAAGGGACTTTTAATGCTGCTTTGAAAATGTTTTGAGTAGAGGCACGTGCACTTCCTTGGGGTATTTAAAAGTGAGGAATGTTGTTTAGAGAAAATACCACACTAACCACAGAGGTGCGGGGGTGGGGGGGCTGGGTGGTTAGACTGGCCATTCTGGATCTTTTAATCAAGCTCCTCTCTCAGTAAATCCAATGAAATCAGTGAGTGATAGGTCTCTTATTAGATAAATTGTCACAAACTAAGAGATAAGAGATTTGATTGTCGTTCAATAAGTTTCTCTGGGAGAAGTTTCCCCTTGAAAATAAGTTTGATACCCTCTCGGGAATGGAAACTGAAGTTTTCCTTCTGTGAAAGTGTCCCACAGAGGGACCAGCTCACTCTGCCCCACAGAAAGCTCAACCCTACCCCTCTGGTACTTTAAGACTTTAAGAGGGATACCACGTCTCATACGCTAAAGAATTTCCAAGGATTTATTTTCTCCCTCCGGAGCAGGGAGGTACTTTTATTTAAAAGAATGGGAGACTATGATGAAGACACTGCATTCCTCGGACAGACTGGTCCATACTTCTGGACCACATTCTTCCTCCTGAACACAGTTTTTGTCTCAACTGGATTCAATGGACTTTACATTGTGTTTGTTGGGGCAGCTCCGAAACATCACTGTTTTGTTCCGGATGTAAACTTGACACATGAGTGGGAACATGCCATCATTCCCTTTACGATAGTGGATGGTGATGAAGTTCAGAGCCAGTGCAGCAGATATAAACTGGATGTAGTGAGGAATCTCTCGGCTGAAGGATACATTCCTGGGAGGGATGTCAACCTTACAAACCTGGAGCAGGAGGGATGTTTGAATGGATGGAGCTACAGCAAAGAGATCTACCACTCCAACATAGTCACTGAGGTCAATATAAGTGTGCATGTGTGTGTTTTATTTTGTATTTATGGGAAATCTGCTCCTTTGTGATCCTTTAAAATGTGTGTTTTAACTCTCCACAGTGGGACCTTGTTTGTGACAACCAGTGGAAAGTTCCCTTTGCATCCTCGACTCTCTTTGTGGGATACCTTCTCGGTTCCCTGATCTCAGGCCAGCTTTCTGACAGGTATTTCATCCATACTTATCACCCATGAAGACCCATAAAATCATAAGATGTCTCAGTCCAATATAAACGTTGAATGTACTTTAAAAGTTTTAAGACAGTATTTATCATTAACTTTAAACAGTAGTTGTGTTACTTTGTGTTTCTACTTTCTGTTGCATTTGCCAAAAGTCTGCTTTTAAATTGTATAAATGATCAGATAAGTAAGGATTAAACACTGTGGTGTCAAAGGAGACTTAGGCCCTGTGATCTGTAATATAATGAAAACAGCTCCATCTACTGTTGAGCTTGGTGACCTCCAAGAGAGGATTTTATTTTCCTCAGGTTGTGAAAAAAGCACAACTAGTCAGGTTGCCTAGATGTGACACATGTGTTTTACTTCACCATTTATCGGTAATTGATATAGGTTTTAGTAACAACATTGCATTTCATATCAGTATTGACTTGGATCATGGGTTGTGCTTTGTGTCTATTTAAACCACATGTAAATGAGCTTTATGTGGTATCCAATCCTCTGTCAGGACGGCTGCACTACATTAAGTGTTTGTAGTTTGTTGTTGTCCTAAAAGAAAGAGAATGAGAACTTAATGTAACTTGTAGTCCATGTTTGTCTCTGACAGACATTTGAACTTCAGATTGTTGAGGAGCAAGGGGTTCAGGACGCAGCGGTGTGTCTGTTCACTGTTCAGCTGTTTTGCAGCTGTGATAACTGGGGGGGTGAGGGGCTTTAGGACTGTTTGATCATTGTGTCACTATGAAGCTTTTGAAGCTGTTAAAGAGTATACTTGTATGTTGGGAGGAAGTTCATTGATGACATTATTTATCCTTGTTTAATTAAGCAAATTCACAAAAGTCATCAAGTTGGTTATTTGCTTCTGATATTAACTATTTTCGTTGAAGGCAACAAAGGAATCTTCCTGTTCTGCAGTTGAAGTATTATGACCGTTTGAAGGGACTAGAAGAAAGACATTAAAGTCCAGAGTCTCATTAAGCTGTTGTACCATTACATAAATGCACGTACTCATGTTGTGTTTGAAGTGCATGCTGGATAGATGAGAAGGAAGCTTATGGTTTTATGTTTAACAAAGATGGTTGTTGTTCAAACAATGAATCGTCTTCTGTTTAGGTAAACTTTACCACGTAAGGCATTAAGCATATATTTAAACTATAGCCACAAACTTTGAAATTCTGAATTGTAGATAATGTGAATAATAATAGATGACAAACGTATCGTTATCGTGTAACACCTTCACTCTAGTTTGCTGTTGGCTTACTCTCGTTGCAAAAGTTCAGTCAAGGAAACAAGGTAACATGCAGCTGCCAGTTGATTACAGGGTCTTGCCTCAGAGAAGAATTGTGGCTACGTGTGGTACAAACACGTTTCCTTGAAAAAAAAGAAGTTATTGCTCTATCTCTGCACTGCCAACCCACTGGATTAAATATTAAACCAATGGCTGCTTGGGAAAAGTGTTGACTCTCAACTTGTGCTTGAGCCTATTAAAATCCCAAAATACCATCATCAGCAGTGCAGGAATGTTAAACTCACACTATTCAAATAGCACCCCATGTATGTATACAGCAGTATATATTAACGACTACAGAAACTACAGTAATAACCCTTACAGAAACCTTCTGAAACAACAGAAAATTACAATAACAAAAATGACACCAATACAAACAACTGTATCAAGAATAATAACAACAAAAGTAACAAGAAAAATAACAATAATATAGGGTATGGTAATAAGAAAATGTGTTTTTATTGTTAATCATTTACTAATAAGCATCTGTCATTAACTGCCTGCTGTCTCGATACACTCAATTTATTACCTGACTGATCTGTTGCTGTATCTTTGAATCTCTAACAACAAAAAACAACATGTGATTCTTTTGCATTAAGGTTTGGGAGGAAGAAGGTTATCTTCATATCTCTTGCAGCCCAGTGTGTCTCGGTCATCCTCCAGTCTTTCTCTCATTCATGGAGGATGTTCTGCATCATGTTCCTCTTTGTTGGAGCCTCACAGATATCCATCTATATCTCGGCCTTTGTACTAGGTATGAATTGTAGATTACATATGTTTGGCATAAAATCTTGCAGCTTTCATTGAGAAATATTAAAGATTGTTTTTTTATTTCACCCCACTGTGTTCATCATACACATCTCATCTTGGACAGGAACGGAGGTGTTAAGTAAAACTATGCGAGTGATCTTCACCACCCTCGGGGCCTTTCTTTTCTATTGCATTGGTTACATGACTCTACCTTGGATTGCATATGGCATTAGAGAGTGGAGGACTCTTTTGGCAGTTTTGGCCACAACTTCTGTGGTCTACATCCCACTGTGGTGGTATGTCCTCCTCATTTGTACTCCCTAAACTTTTGTGTTTGAATATATTAACTTCAATAGTTTGAATCAAAAGGATCAGCATAAAGGATGATTCAAAAAACCCTCTTTAGTAAACGTTAAATGTAAACTTGAACTGTTTGTGCAGGTTTCTCCCAGAGTCTCCTCGCTGGCTGCTCACTCAGGGTCGAGTGGAGGAAGCTGAGGCCATCGTGAGAGATGCTGCAAGAAAAAATAAAGTTCAGGCCCCAGCAGTTATTTTTAAAGAGTTTGAGGTGAGTTTTTTTTTACTAACATAATTTATGACTTATGAATAATTTCATCATGGAGAACAGTGCTGTGCTAAAATCAGTATCTTAAAATGTAACTCTTAGGATGAAAATCTAACTGAAATCCAAACATTTCTGACAGCTAGTACAGCCCAATAGATTATTACTGGTATTAAACACAAATCAATCAAGCGATTGTGTTATATATGGCTCCAAGCTCACAGCAAAAATGAACTCATTACAGGGTACATATACAGCAGGTCCAAACTGTACTGTTGTAATATTTAACAGAACTTAATCAACCATATGTCAGCACTCGACAACAGTACAAAAGGAGAATAAGCAAATATGGCTTGAGCAGAGTGCTTGGTATAAAAATTTGCTTCTTCAATTTAAAAGTTTTGAAAGAAAGAAAGTGGGTTCATAACTGACCCAGATCCCTTCAGTCCGCAATCTGCATCAATAGTTACTTGGCCAATGCCTAATTTCAATGTGATCATAAAATATCTAAATCGTCTGTGTGCAAGAAGCACAACTGAATCAACTCTCTTGTTTCCATTGGTTTAAGCTCCAGGGGAGGCCTCCAATCAAAACATACACCATGCTTGATATTTTGAAATCCAAGAACATCAGATGTATCACACTGATGTGTCTCTTGTTGTGGTAAGGGGATGTTTTCCTGTTCAATATAACATTTTCTAAATGGTCATAAGTCACACTTAAATAAACTTAGATATACACTTAGATAAATGGTGATTCTGTTATCTGTTCATATGCAGTTTAATGAATTATGTTGGGAAAGCACTAGTGCATACAAATACTAAATGTGCATCCATGAAATTCGATGACCCATCAATTGTAGTTTTCTTTTTCGTTTCTTCTCAGGATGGCCATAAACATTGGGTATTTTGGATTGTCCCTGAACACCTCTAACCTGAGCGGAGACCCCTTCATGAACTGTTTTCTCTCAGCTGCTGCTGAGGTTCCTGCCTATGTGGTTTCTACTCTGCTGCTAAGAAAATGTCCAAGAAGAGCACTTCTGTCATCATTCCTCATCATTGGGGGAGGTGTTCTTCTTCTCATCCAGTTCATCCCTGATAGTAAGACTTCTTTCTGTATTTTATAGTCAATTTAAAGGGTAATTATGCATTACATTTTACAAAATACATATAGAATTGGATTTCAAGGCACAGTTCTCAAGCAGAAATTCCTCAGATGAAACAAAGCTGGTTAATTTTTTACTTCAATACTTTTGTTGACAGGAATGTGTTTTCTGATTTGGGTAAAGTGAGTGTTTTACTTAACATGACATTTTTCCTCCTTATGACTCTTTGTCCAGTTGTAAATCTACTTCTCGTCCTTGCTATCAGGTCAGTGTTTTGTAAGCTGACCTTGCTATCAGGTCAGTGTTTTGTTCAACCTATGGTATGACGTAAAGCCAGTCTCAAAGTGTCTAGAAAGGCTGTTTCAGTGGAAAAAAAAAAAAGGCTTTGTACAAGAGGTTGTGCAACTGAGCAAGCTAAGTTAAACAAAGATTCTTTGTAAATGTTTCATCACTTATGTGAGTTTCTGCTGCTGATTGTGCAGCTCAGATCACTTCTAGTCATTCAGGGTATACCACACTGTAAGTGAATGCAACTTTTTGACAACATAAATATACTTTTTAATGTTATGATTGTCCAAGCCAATACTGGTAATGATAGATAATATTAACCTAAAAATCTACTGTATCTTTGATTGCAGTGTAATCCAGTAATGGACAGAATTAATATTTAACCTGAGTTTTCACCAGATGACACTTAACAAGGCCAAAACAGTGCCATGTGATCCCACACACCTTCACCCTTTCACCCTTTCACCCAAACAACATCCAACATTTTCCTCAATAAGCTATAGGTAACACAATGATTTTTGCTGACGTTAAAGAAGCTGTACTCAAGATCAATGCATCCTCTCAATCAGTTTTTCAGAATGAGTTTAGAAGGGTTCATATTAGAAGGGTTCATATAATTCATCTTTGTTCTGTAAGTATGAGACCATGGTCACAGAAAATATAAAGTTTACTTCTTAACTTGAATTTTATCATTTAATATATTTAAATTAATTGTATTCCCCCTAAGACTGTTATGATATCTATTTTCTTTTCAAACCTGAGGATTTTACTTTTAAGTTACAAGTTACTTTTTTCTCTACCTCAGTCTACCTGTCCCTGCGTCACTTTCAACACAATCCTTTTTCCTTTCAAAGACTAGTTATTTTGTAGATTTTTCTTTAATAAGCTTTAAATAAACTCAAATTTCACATTTCTCTCCCTCTCAGCCCTTCAGTATATAGCTCTGGCTTTGGAAATGACCGGGAAGTTTGGCTTCACCATGGCCTTCAGCATCGTCTACATCTACACTGCAGAGATTTATCCCACTGTACTCAGGAACGTCGGCATGGGAATGTGCTCCTCGGCTGCACGCATCGGCAGTATCACAGCTCCTTATGTCATTTATTTAGGTATGTAAAAGTTATCGTATCAGTTTAAATAGCAAAACCATTCTGTATAGATTCATATCAGTGACTTGTACAAATGCATTTCAAGCACTTCTTTGTCATTTTTAATGAAGAGCTGTGTTCTGTTTCTGTTCAGGTACTTATAATAAGGTTCTGCCGTATATTCTCATGGGAAGTCTCACAATTGCCTCCTCTGTGGTGAATTTCTTCCTTCCGGAGACCCTACATAGAGATCTTCCAGAAACAGTAGAGCAGATGCAAGAATGTCAGGGGTAGGTACATCTCTTCCTGGTTTCTGCGGTACACACTTTTGAAGTAACCATAGCCACAAAGTTTTACAACAAACTTTAAAAGATAAGATAAAAGCTCTCACTCAGTCACATGTTACAACAAATATAAGCGTCTTTTGTAATTGACCTCCAAAGAGATAAACAGGCAAGACATTACTTTGAGTTCTTATCCAACACAAATAACTGAATTGCTCTTGACTCGATCATATACTGTAATAGTGCATCACTCTTATTGCTTCCTCCAAAGAAGGAGTCAAAGGCCGGAAAATTCAAAAAGAAAGTATATGCATAGTTGTTGGTTTTTTTTTTTGGGGGGGGGTAATTTTTGTGATTTTGTGCCTTTATTGGAGGGACAGATATGGGATAGAGTCAGACACCAGGGTGAGAGCTAGGAATTGCTATTACTATTACTATTATTGCAGGAAAGGTGCCATAGGTGGGATTCAAACCTGGGCCACCCTCTTTGAGGACTGCAGCTTCTGTAAATGGGGCGCATAATCTAGCCAGTCTGCTACCAGCACACCATATGCATAGTTCTATCCTATAAACATAAAAGCCAAGACACAGTAAAAGGAAGGAATACATAATATTAATATATTTACAAAAAGTATATATCGGACACATTTTTTTTTACCAGTGGTTCTCTTATTGCTCATCAGCTTTTTGCCTTTTGTTTTTCTTTGGATTACAGGTTGTGCAATGGACTCAAAAAGAAGAGATATGTAGAAAATGGAGGAAGCGACAACCCCAACATACATCATGAGGCAAAGTCTGATGTGCAATCTCTTACTGCATAGTTCAGATTGGCAAACAACAAAGAAATGAAAAAAAGAAGGAACTATTTGATTGCTTGAATTAAATAATCTGAAATCTGAAATTAAAATCCAAAACATGCACAGCGGGATCCAAAAGCCTGCTGCCAAAAACTGTATGTTTTTGTTTTTTTTAACATATTTAAAACCTCTATTTTTGTATTCAGTTGATGGTTGCTACCTACAGAATTGTTCTTTGGAAATGTTAAGTTGTTTTAAATAAAGTTAAAAAGTCAAACCAAACTTGTATTTTGATTTCTTTATTTTTCCTTTAAATTTTTTGGGGAAAAAAATGTAGATCTTTTTGTTTTTTCAAAAAAAAATGTGTCTTATATTACATTATATTGAACAAATTAAGCTTCTACAGAATGTTTTTTATTGAAAAAAAAAAAAAAACAGCCCTGAAATAAATGGTCCTGTATTGTGTTATTGTTGCATCAAGTAAAAGTGAGGTTAGTTAATTGAAAAATTATACAAAAAATCAAAATCTAAAACCCACTGTCTGTGTTCAAGGGTTGGTAACTCACATAGTGTTAACTGTAAAAGACAAGTATCACTCTGTTGAAGAAAACCATTTGCATGTGGTCTGTGTCTCAGTTGTATCTGAGATAACTATGCTGGAGATAAAGTAATAGTAAAGCCTCCCCAATGTGTGCTGGGCTTAACTAGACAAAGGAATAGTGGAGGGAGATGCCCACTTGGTTACCCCAGTGATGTACTGGTTCTCACTAACCATCTGTCGTCACTGTTGAGTTGGGGGAAACCATTAGGCGCTAGATTATGTGACAAATCAGCAGGGCTTTAGGATACGAGTGGGTTTGCTTCACGGAGTACTTGTCCTTTTTCATTAGAGCTTTTCATTAAGTATCAACTGTTTTATTTTCAAAATCAGCAGGGCCCCTTCTGACGAGACTGGGAAAATGAAGCATTGTATCCGTTACTGACTCGTGTTCAACAGGACTTTAGCCGTCTGACTCAAAGTTCATTGACAAAAACTGACCTAGCGTCATAACGACCTTACTGCTTTATCTGTAAATAATCTGTCTTCACAAATTACTGGTTTACTTCAATTTGAAAATGATTTACTCATGCCCAAGTACACTTTGAATTGTTTCCTTACCTCACAACCTATGTTATTAATACACCATATTTCTTACGTCATGCATAACTCAAGTGCATAGTGGACTATTCCATGTAACTGTGTAACTTTCAACATCAAGTGAAACTGGGATATATAACTCCGCTTACTCTCTCACATGGGTCAAATTCGAATCACAGTGCAGTAGGCCAAATTCTCTCCTGTGCCTTGTGGATGTCTTTTTCGATCCTTACTTTTTTTTATCAAGGGTTTTGACAAGATAATGGGCAGCTTAAAGACAAGGGACTATGACAGTATCACATCATTCCTTGGATCTTGGGGACCCTTTCAACGAAGGATTTTTTTAGCACTGGCCATCAGCATCCTACCAAATGGATTTGTTGGTACCTACATAATATTTGCAGGTGATACCCCTCCTCATGAGTGCTTTATCCCTGAGAACAACAGCATCAATGGCATGTGGAGAAATGTGACTATCCCTTTGGAGACTGTCAATGGCATTGAAAAGCGAAGCTCCTGCTCAAGGCTTAACTTGGATATTGTCAGTAACTACTCTCAAAAAGGAATCATCCCAAATGTGGATGTAAATGTGAGTAACATTCCTTTAGAAAGTTGTCTAGATGGTTGGACTTACAGCAAAGAAATCTACCAGTCAACCATTGTCACAGAGGTAAGTCATCAATTAACTTCTCTGTCAGTTTTAGTTATAAATAAGAAATTGTAAAATACAATTAAATTGAACTTAAAGCAGTCCATGTAATTCTAATTCATTGTTTTCATCTCTGTAATAGGATAAGATGGTCAATCATGTCATTTGCAGCACTAAGATCTAACAGGACAAGCACAGAGAGAAGTTCCCTGTCCGGGGCTAGACAGACAGTCTCAATGCTTTATATGGTGGACTCTAAATCCTGACTGAAAATCCTCAAATAAACTGTTGTCATTGAGACAGTCACATAACTGATTTGCTAACACTTTCTCCAGGATCTTTTGGAGAAAATGAAGGTTAGATATTAATAAGGTTAGCTAGGGTTCTTGAAGCAAGAGTAGGCTTTTAAGAAGAGGTTTAAATTCAGCTACTACAGCGACTGTGGTACATAACATGCCAGTAAAGACATATTGATCATATCTAATATAGAGCAACCAGCTTGGTTGGAATTGGTTCTAAAAGACAGGCTGACGGTGTAGATAAAAGAAGTCCAGAAATTGGCCAGGTAGCTGGAGAAGTGCCAGTCCACTTCCTGAGCACTGCTGAGGTGCCCTTGAGCAAGGCGCTGGACCCCCCAAAAAACTGCTGGAGCGCTTTCTGTGGGCAGCCCCCTCACTCTGAGACCTCTACTATAATGCATGTCCATGGGGTCCTGTTTGTGCACGTGTGTATTTCGGCCTATGTGTGTAATCATATTCGTTAAACAGAGTGTCATACCGAATTTCCCTTTGCGGGATTAATAAAGAACAAATTATTATTATGATTATTTATTGAAAGGTCAATTGGAGAAAAACAGTTGAGGTTAATATCAGGTTTTAGAGACAATTGTGAAGCACCGCATTTTTTAAATTTACGAGATGTAGATTCTACAACAAAAAAAAAAGCCATTTGACTACAAATGCTAATCGCTATTTATGCTAAGTTAGCTACTATTATAGCAAAACCTATGTGACTATTTCAGCGACCAACACTGATGCTATTACTACTTCTAGGGGTGACAGTACAATTTAGGAGATTACTTATTAATGCTGTTTCTGGCATAATAATAATGGCCTCTGTGTTCATTGGTGCCACAACACTAAGCTATAGATTACATATTTTGATGAATGTTTCTTATATTTTGTGATTCCTTCATTTATGTTAATTGTTGTTAAGTGCTTTATGTCTGAAACCCAGTAAATTGTGCTGCTGCCTGTCTTGGCCAGGATGCTCTTTTAAAAGAGATTTTTAATCTCAATGAGACTTTTCCTGGTTAAATAAGATTATGACGCTGCTGCTTCAAATAAAATATGTTCCATATTGCTACTGTTGTATAATACTGATAACTAAATAATATGTCTCCATTTGCAGTGGGACTTGGTGTGTGACAATAGCTACAAAACTCCATTGGCTACCTCTATCCATTATGTTGGTGTACTAGTGGGAGCATTTTTATCAGGCCTGATGTCTGACAGGTTGGTACTGCTAACAGCAATGTTGGAAACATTTACCAGTCCAATTTGGTTCTGAGGGATAAACACAAATCATGCACTGTATTTCTTACACAGGTTTGGAAGGAGACCCACACTTTTTCTCATGATGGCTATACAGACTGTTTCAATTACAGCACAAATATTCTCACCAAGCTGGGAGATCTTTACATTTATTTTCTTCTTCGTCGGTGGGGGAGGATACTCCAACTATATCATTGCATTTGTGCTGGGTATGTTTTCTAGTGAGGATCTCAAGCATTCAATATTGATTTGATACCCCTTGATATAGTTGTATATGTCATAATGGCCTGTTTGAGTTGATAAGGTAAAACACGAAGAAGCAGAAGTTTGAATACAAAAATTGTGCTTGACAGTCTCAAGTTTTATTAATCTTCTTTAATTTGTTACTCATCCAGGTACAGAAATTCTATGCCCAAAAACCAGAGTGGTCTTCTGCTCTCTTGGGGTTTTTATGAGCTCTGCTTTGGGGTACATGTTAAGCCCAGCTGCAGCTTACTTCCTTCGTGATTGGCGATTGCTGCTGATTCTCATGGCTGCCTCTGGCCTGTTGTACCTCCCTCTTTGGTGGTAAGAATATTCAAATCATGTATTTTACCTATTGAATCTAACACGATTGTGACCATTTTAATGATGTTTCTTGGTGGGAGTTTCATAAACTCATGGTTTAAGGGAAGCAATCCACCTCCAATACTCACTTAAACCCCCACATGGTGGCTATACTTTTAAACCAGGATACTTCTGGAGAGCAGAGTTTTATGAAATAGGACAGTGCACAAGTTAATATCTAACTACATACTGTTTTCCGGTCCCTTAAAGGGAATTGCTGGTGTGTATAGGCCCTTTAAGTACAGTCAACTGGTTAGGTTTTGTGCATTTATTCCCGTTTCTCTGAGAGTCATTATTGTCATTGTTTTCTGTTTTTAATGTCCAGGATAGTCCCAGAGTCTCCTCGCTGGCTGTTTTATCAGGGAAGAGTGAAGGAGGCTGAGGCAATAATCAGGGACGCTGCCAAGACAAATAACGTAGAGGCTCCACAGACCATCTTTACAGCAGCTGAGGTATCAGCTGTTTTATGATTGTTATAAAGTTTTACCACATGTGCCGCTCAGCTCAGAGTGCACGTGCCAAGGCCAGAAGGTTCTTTGAAATAAAGCAGTAAAAGCTAGTTTTAACAAACATAGGAAAGAAACTGTGTGTCTTCTGTACTTGGACAAGAGGAAACCAAGAAACACTATGCATCCCCCATGGAAGGCTAGAAGAGCAGCTTTATTACACTTTGAAACCAATAGTTTATTACCTCCAGTTTTCAAAAGCTCCCAATCCCAGAAACAAAACTTAGCGTAACAGGCCCTGAAATCCTTACCAAACATGAGACAAGCGCAAAAAAGTAAAACTCATTAATCAAAGTAATTTAATTTAAAACTAATTAGAAACTTCTAGAACCATCCATCCATCATTCATAGGGGTTTGTGGGGGGTTTCAGCAGCTCAGCAGTCAAATGTGCAGATTAGAATTTGACTTTTCAGGCTACATTGTTTCAACAATTCTTGTTTTTTGCAGATCGAAGACGTACTGGCTATGAAAAACAAGAAATACAACTTCTCAAATATCCTAAGCAACTGCAATATGTTTTCTCTTACACTACTGTGCTCACTTCTGTGGTAGGTCTGCAGTTTCCTCACACCTCAATCCATCAATCCATCACATTTACTAAAATCTCTGTTTTATGTAATTTTTAGTGATTCCTATCCTGTTTGTAATGTCTTGTTCTGATTGTCTCTCCAGGGTCATCATCACCATCAGTTATTTCGCTTTAGCCCTCAATACTTCAAACCTGCACGGCAGCCCTTATTTAAACTGCTTCTTCTCTGCTTTGACAGAGGTGCCAGCTTATCTTCTTGCTCTTCTATTGCTCAAGTTTTGCCCCAGGCGCTTCTGTCAGTCTTCTACACTGTTGCTTGGAGGCGTGATGATCCTCTGTGTTAACCTCATCCCCATAGGTAAGTCTCTTTTTTGTGATATTTTTAGCAGTTAGTGATCAACAAAGTTTGACGTCATGATGCATTCATTTTGTCACTAAAAATGTGAGTCTACTTGCATAATAGTATATATTTAATTTGATAGTTTTATCAACCTTAAATTGTCCTTGCTGCTCCTTAGGTGTTGCTATTTTCATGCTACTGTTCTATGTGTATGGATCTATTACTGTGGCAAAACTATTTGAATATGCGTACACAGATCCACAAATGTGTAAAAAGATCCACAAATGTGTATAAAGATCCACAAATGTGTAAATTAATCTGCAAATATGTAGATCAATTTCGAAATATTTACTTATTTATTAATGGCAGTAAACTTTTTCAGCTGTAATTCCTGAAAATACACACAAATGATCGCTTACAACTGAGGCGGGCCTCTCCATTGGCTGTCATTTTACACGTGACTTTTGCAACACTCCTGCCATGCAAGATCCACAAATGCGTACACATATCTTCAAATGTGTGTCTGACGATCTGCAAACACATTAGTGGGGTTTGTCACGTGTAAAATGACAGCCAATGGCTACATATTTGCAGATTAGTACATGCATTTGTGGATCTATTTACACATTTGTGGATCTGTGTACGAATATTCAAATAGTTTTGCCACAATAATAGCTCCATGTATGTGCCTTTGAATTGCCCCCAGGGGACAAATAAAGTATTTTTTTTATTGAATTGAATAACAGGATAGAGCCCTATGAGTCCAAAACTGAGCTTTGAGCTAAATGCTAAATCTGTGTCCAAAATGCTGCAGAATGTATCTACAAGCTGTTGATGATACTGAAGAAATATACTACTGATCACTATAGTTAATGATGTGATTATTATGAATTTTTGCTCCAAATGTTATTTTGATCCATCCAGTAGATGGTGAAATTTTTAAAAAGTCCAGTTTTCACCCTCAATATGACACAAGATTAAATGCCTACTCTCAAAATAATTTAATATTTTAGTCTTTTCTTTTTTCACGAGATATTTTAGTGGGTTCACTGACCCATTGAGTTTCCCTTACCAAAGTGCTAAACCAGAAATATAGGTTAATTAAAACCGGTGAGATGGTAGAGTTAATATGTGGGAAGTTTGAAATGCCTTTTGTGAACTTTGGGGTTATTTGCCTTTATGCCATTTTTGATGGTCTCTTTAGGTCTACCTGCTGTATCCGTGTTTCTTGAGATGTTGGGGAAATTTGGCATAACAGCTGCATTTTGCATCGTATATGCTGTCACCTCAGAGTACTTCCCCACTTTTATCAGAAATACAGCAATGGGATGTTGTTCAATGTCAGCTCGCATTGGAACAATCATCTCCCCCTTCATCATTTATCTGGGTAAGGATTTATTGTTTTTAGATTGTCAGAACTTTGCCAGTGCGATGGACTTTTTCAGCTGAAATGTGGTAGTTGTAGGAGTTTTCATAATCACTGCAACAATATATGTGTTCAATTGTCAAAGAAATCAGTAAACGAATGAATGAATGCGCAAATATTTTCACAGAGAATACTTTTTCATTCAAATGAAATGATTAACAGAGAAAAAAATATCCTGATTATTTGATACAATGAGTGTCCTAATGTTTCAACAGTTTGGTTTGTTTGTATAAATCTAAGAAGTGACTTACTTTGACTTTCTTTTGCAGGTCAATACAACAAGTCACTCCCGTACATATTGATGGGAAGCTTTGCAGTTATCGGTGCTTTCTTATGCCTCCTTCTTCCAGAGACATTTAACAAGCCTTTACCAGAGACCTTATCCCAGATGCAGCAGATATACAGGTGAGTTCACACACTATGCTGTATGTTTAAAGGCAACAATGTTTCTATAACTGCACAGATTATGTTTTAATTTACTACAAAGTCAAGAAAGCTAGGGATCAAACTTTTTATCTTCCAAGTTGAAGTCGGCCATCTCTTTAGCTCCTGCGCTACAGCCAACACAAAAATGTTATGTCAGTGCAGATATAAATTGAAATGATAGACAAAGTTTGGTTTAATTTTTAAAAAGGACAGATACAAAAACTACAGCTGCTCACTTTGTAATTTTAGTCATGTTTATGTAATGTTGCATCTCTTGAAGGTCCTTAGGGACCAGTCTTAGAGAAGTGCAACAATTATTAATTTATAATGGTCTACTTTTGTTACCCCTGTTCTTATTGTTATCAGGAAAAACCTTTAGTTAATCTCTGATCTTTGATGCTGCTGCTGTTACAGTGTCACTAAATATCCTCTTAATATTCAAACAGGAGATGTGGAAAGAAGAAAGAAGCTGAAAAGGGAGAGCACATCGCTGATTTTCAGACTAAAGTAACCAAGTTGTAGTTTATCCCCTAGTTGCCACTACAGTGGAGAGTAAATACAAAGGTTGTTTTCTGCCAAACTAATATCAAAATTGCTGCAGGAGGTCAGAAATGCTATGCAGCTCAGGAAAATCTCCCAAACCCTACCACAGGAGAAAACCCTTGCAATGAAAAAAATGTAACATCATATAATAACTAAAGAGCTAAATAATGTTAAAATGCCAAGTATTGATTTCATATTTGAAGAAAATTATGATGAATCATCCATTCAATTAAGACATCATGCATTGAAGGATATATTTCATTTGGAATTGATACAACCATAATTGAGACTTTGTTTTGTTTTTTTTAATTCCTTGATCTGGAGTGAAATTTTTCTGTTTATCAATTGACTTATTTAATGTGTAAGACAGGAAAAACCTCTAAACTTAAATTTAAGAACTCAAATTCATGCTCTCCACTTGAATGAACATGTTACCAACTGAAAATGTTCAGTTGAAATAAACAATTTGGATAAGTTTGTGTACTAAAGGGAATAAAAACCAAAAAAAAGCTGCTTGATAAAGTTGTGGTTATTTATGCTTGAAAGCTTGAAGCTTACTTTGAAAAGTTTTTATTGTAGTTTTTCATGGTATAAAACTGTTTTAATGCTGCACAAAGTTTAAGTCACGTGGAAAATTACCAAAGCTTTAATGTTTTTTCTATTTTTATAATTTGGACTGAAGGACTTAATTTATGAGTTGAAAAGGGCTTTCACACTTGCAGAATTCTCCCGAAAAAATCCTGATATTTCCAGGAGGAGCTGTATATGTGAACGCAAACATCAGAATTTTTCCCTCGGACTTCACTCTGAGTTTCTCCTGCCGGACCCCTTGTATTTTTTTTTCGCAGCAAATCCGAATGAGCTGATGTAAGAACGCAGCAGGATATTCTCCCCGGAGAATTCACCTTGAGCCAATAGGAGGAGGAATGACGTTTCTATACTGTGATAGCTGCACGGTGCATACAGTGTATACACTCGACCACTACGATCTCCGTGAACATAATTAAACGGCTGCAGTACGTTTTCTGTTCGCCAGCATGTTGTTCTCCGCTCTTTTCTTGATATTGTCATTTCGTTGGAGTACATAACATTGATATAAAGACAAACATTCTTATTATATCAGATCAGATCAGAATAATCTCCGGAGCAGTCTTCCTGAAATTGTCTAGACATTTTCAAGAGTGCATATGTGAAAACAGCTAAAGCATGTGAATTTTTGCATGAAAATAATGGATAAAGAAAAAAAAAGGATATAATGAAATCCATCTGAAAATACCTTACCTTACACAGGTCACTAAACCACTGACAATAATGTAGAGGTTGTCCACCTGCTGCTATAGTCCAGAGGTGCTGCTTTTCAACAGGCAAGGCAGGCAACTGCTTAGGGCCTTTGGCCAGTAGGGGGCCCAACCAAGGACTGACAAACTTAAAACCACATGTAACAGTGGCTCAGGAGGAGGAGGGGCAGTTTGCTTTAGTCCCGCTGAGTAAAAGTATAGGTTATAGATGTAACTACTAATAAGTTATATATAGTATAGAGCTGGGCTATTCAGTTAAAGGGACAACACCTCATAATTTGACAACTCCTGGATAATAGAAATAGTTTGAACTGTCCTTAGTGAACAAACAAGCTTATGATCCAGGAGCTACAAACAGAGCCAGCAGAGGTTATCATTGCAATAAGGGTTACCCCCCTTTAAAGAGACCGGTTTGGGCAAAAAATGATTTGGCTAAGAAATGCTTTCACGTTTATCTTTGCATTCTAATGAAATTAAAAATAAATGTTTAGAGTGAAAATAATTAGAAAAAGTAATTTAGAGGCTCATGGAAATGTAACCTTGTAATTTTCCTGTGTGTTTCGCCAACACGCTGCTTATAGGCCTAAAAGCTTATTCGACGTATGTCACTATCTCGCAGAGAAATTTCACTTTCACTTCTAGTCAACCAAGAAGCTTTAAAGACCAAGAAACTCTGTGGATTTCCATTATGTGTAAGTCATATCATTCCAGTCGACTTGGTGTTCAAACTGTTTAGTGAAGAGCTGTTGTTGATCTGATCCCCGACCTGCTCACTCTCAGCTGCACTTAAAGGGAAATTCTGCTGCAGCTGACGCTGTTGATTTCTCCTTAACGGTTGACTGAAGTAAAAGTGAAAGTAAGAACAATGCATCTACACTGAAAACCGTTTGGTTATTTGTTCAGTTTCTCTAAAGAAAAGGCTACCACATCAGTGGATGGATTTCTTTGTTCAGACATAACCTCCATGGAGGATGGCTACGTTATTTAAGGTAAGATTTCACTTCAACGGGCTAATTAAATCAACTAGAATCTTAAATATGAATAGTCCTACATCATGAAGACAAGATTAGTATGGTGTAAAACAATTTCATGTAGCAATAGAAATTAGGTTTCGACGCTGCATTTGTCCATACTCGAACAGTAAGCTTTTATTTCTCTACAAAACGTGTGTCCGTGCTGCAAAAAAAACTGCAAGATCATCCACCATCCATTGTTTTCTGTTCAATCTTTTAAGTACCGTTTGCTCCTCAATCCTCTCAAATTCTTCGTTATTCCCATACAGTAGGCATATTTTGAAACATTCAGACTGGTTTGCACGGTTTTGTTTTGATAGCGCAGATTCAGATTGTTACTGAACAGCAGTTTCATATTTAATTCAAATTATCCTCACGCTTGGATTCTGCATTATTGGAAAGAATTGTTCGCTGTTGACTTGACTAGACACACAGTTATTACATACCATTTGACAGGTGTAGGCTAGGTTATTAAACATGGGTTATTCACTTTAAAAAAAAGAAAGAATAAAAGGTTTTTTAAGTCCTTATACCGGTTTTTAATGTTGACATTGTTTCAAATGGCGGCACCCCGACATGTCCACATAGACAGTGAGAGCACAGTTGTTGAATATGTTACTGACGCAGTTCTAAGAGGTGCCGCTAGATGTCGCCAAAGGCTGACGTCCTTTAAGGCCTACTGGTCAATGCTTTCATAAACTATAGCCAAAATATGAATTTGAAAAAAAGCCAAACGAAAAACTATGGTCTAATATGCATCCACCAGAGAAGTGAGATAGGCCTACAACTTTCTAAAGAACAGTTTCACTTCTGACACTCACTGTTTTACTTGAGTGATGACTTTAGTTAGTTAGGCCTACTTTATTTAGGCTACTGGAGTGATGTTGAGTGAGTGACTTTTCACATTGTTGTTTTTTTTTGTTTGCAATAACTGGACTGTAACCAAGAAACTAGCGAAAGCACAATGTATTTTATTTGACAGCTATAGTCAACATGCTATTTTTGTATTTAGAAATCAAACTAACAAATATAGCCTATAAGGCTGACCATGAAGCTCATCAAGACGTTCATACAAGGTCTAAATGCACTACTTGCACCACTAATACAATAAAATAAAAATCTGAAATAGTAATAGTTAAAAACCGCGTTCATATAGGCTACCTAAAACAATATCTGAGTAATAGGTGGTTGATAAAAAATCCTTTAAAAAGTATTAAAAGCAGTGTTACTGCCATACATTCTCAGATATCTTTCAATCAAAGTACGTATAATGGAAACATAGCCACTGTGATTTTTTAAAATTTTTAATACTCTGTTTTGCGATGTTTATAAAAAAAAAACGGTATGTAATAACTCTTGTCGAGGTAGAGCCAGTAGATACGTTGAATGTTTGCCAGTGCATCATATTTTTTGTGCTTATCATGTTTAAAATAAAACCACACGCAGCTCATTAATAAACGTAACTGTGATACAGGGGGGACAGAATCTATCTAATCACACTGTTTTTTGACAAAAGCACTAAACTGCATATTTTACCCCCCTTTTCCGTTGATAAGCTAATGTGAGCTCTGAGTCAACAGCAAAATATTTAATATCAAAACCAATCGCCAGATGTCACCAATGGTCTATGATTTAAACAATGTTTCATGAACAACCACTAGATGGCAGTAAAGCCTTAAATATAGCCAACATGAACTTGTTTAGTGTACATAGCACTTACTCTCAGTGGTGTGTGAAAGGGGAAGTGTTTATGTGGAGTCAGTCTTCATGACTCACTTGGTACTCTCCTTGTCTACTCACATAGAAACTTAACCTGGCTGCTGACCTGATTCAATTGTTTTGGTTAATTTGCATGTGCATGTGATTAGAAACCACCCTGCAAACCTGTTCAGGAAAACAGAAAAAAACAGAAAATGAGGGAAAAAAAAAATGACTCCTCTAAATTGGCCAATAGGCCACTTGATCTACTTAAATTCCTCTCAGGCAGGTGGGGCTTTCATACAACAGCCAAACAGGAAATGCTTTGCCGCCAAACAAGAGTTTATCTAAAATAGCCAAATGTAGAGGGACTTCCGCATACCATTGTCTTAACACAAACAGGCCTCAAAAGATGAGTGATAGATACTTAGGTGGTATAAAAGTTTTCGATCTCGTCGGCATGTGTGTGTTTGTGTCACGGTGTACGAATGCCTGAGCCTCAGATATGTCTTTGTCTTGTTTCATTGGAATCTGTTTTGATGTTCTTGCCCTATTATGAGTTATCAGTGACTGAACCAGACAAAGAATTACAGCCAGGCAAACAGATAACAGACTGGCACAGATTCACATACACAAAAGACATAAGACTCACACTGTCTTTACTTTTGAAGTCATCGCCAGCAAGTGTTGTATTGTAGCTCAGTTTAAAGGAGATGAAGAAATATCTTCTATTGACATTGAAGAGTAGTCGTTTGTTTAAGTAGTATTCAAAAAGACCATTCCATTTAAACTGTTTTAACACAGAAAATAAGCATTAATAATAATTGTTGAATTTCTGATACTTTTCTTTTTTAGTGACGTATTTGCAGTTCATGTTTTGTCTGCAGTTGTCACATAACAAGCTTTTAGGATGTGGTGAGCACCTAAACTCAGACTTACCCAGGTATAGACCTTTGTTCAACATCTACAGTAAGTAGGTTCTAAAAGTCACTGAGAGCAGTCTCTGATTGCTTCTTGATAAATAAAATGTCTGCATAAGTTACAAACCTGAAACTGTTCTTTTTCCCTTTGAAGAAGTAAGACGAACCAGTGTTTGGTCTTTTTTGCAGGCTTAGCCAGCATGATAGAGACTATTATTAGATCAAATGTAACAGTGTTTATTTCCAGACAATAAAAAAGAAAGTGTGTTTCATATGTGTTTACATTTGTGGGAGGTATTCCCTTAAAGCTGATTGTCATATGTCCTTTTAATGTCATTTTTAATATAGTATACTACTAGCCAAGCAAATAACATTTCAACTTGTCTAAAATGTACTTTTCCTGCCACCAAACTTTCTAACTGTGGAGATGCAGTAAATGCACTAATCTGGCACACTAAGGAGAATAATAAAAACAGTGAATCATTTGTAATTATAATTAAATCTTTGTTTGACAAACAGGAAGGAAATTGCCATCTGTCTCAAAAACAAAAACTGAATTTCATCAAGTAAAAATGGGCTCAAAT